TGCAATCAACTAAAAGCCAGTTACACTGACTAACTTTTCCACTGACCCATCCAATCCAATACACTCCGCGCATGCATCCAATAGCCGTAATCCGTATATACAAAATTGCCGTCTCGTGGGGTTTTCTCGTCTGTTTTAGCTGTTACCGTTGCACGTTTTTCGTTTTGTTTTGATTTTGCTGCTTCTACCCACACACACATGCACGTACACAAAAGCACACACACAAGCACACATTGTTAGCGCTAGCTCACATAGATACTCGAGTCGGCTGCCGCTTGTTCGTTTTTCGCTTTTGTTTTGTTTTAATTCTTTTGCTTTGTCGAGTCCAAAGATAAAGAATGAAAATCGTGTTGTATGAAACGGCAACTGAACTGAACAAATGCTAGCCTAGCCTGCCGCTGCCAGTTCTAGATACTTTCGGCTAGCGCTCAGTCGCAGATACGTTCAGCGCCGAGACGGACGGCAGAAAAGCTGTTGGAAAATTACAACACCAGCAGCAACGGCGGCTGAGGAAAAGGCGTCGAGACGTCGAGTTGTCGAGTTTATTGTAAAGCAGACGCGAGTGCGCAACGCTTTTCTATTTTCGCCTCAAGTGCAGCCCCAGTCACAGCGCAAAATCCTACAAGAAAAATAAATAAATAAAGAAAAGACGCAGAAATCGGAAAATATATAAATATATTTTGTAGCGCAGTGTACAATATGCTGGCCATCAAGGAGTGCCTCATTCGCGAAGGCGTCCTCAATCTGGATAGCCCCATGCACGGCTCCTCCGGCCAGCGCCACTTTCAGCTGCAGTCGAGCAAAAGCAGCGGCAATATGGATATGCCTCGCTATCGCAGTTAGTAGCACTTCATACATATTCACACAGATACAGATACATTCGTATCGCTCAGATACGAGTTGTACATTTGCAATTTGTACACACATATGCTTCGCTTTGTTTACGCAGATGCCCTGTATTTGAGTGTTGGGTGGGGATGGGGACAATATCCAATGACCATATATTTTATGTAAACATCAGGTGTGCCATATCGCGAATTCTGAGGAAATAGTTCAATATCCAAGTAGATTAGGTTTTGTTTTTTGCCATGCAGTTGGTTTTATTCCTATTTAAAGATTAGTTCATTTAACAAGTGTTTATATAGCAAACTTTTTGTATTGATTGCAATCCATTTAAGTCGAGGGTATTCCTCAGTTGTATACTGCCTCCTGCTGCCGTATAAATTAATATTTTTAGATTCTGGCGTGTGTTTTAATCCATGCAGTTGGTATTATTCCTTTTTAAAGATTAGTTAATTTAACTAGATCACAATCCCATTAATTCGAGGGTATTCCCCAGTCGTATATCACCTCTATCTGCTGTATGTGGTATATCACTTGATATTTTTAGATTCTGGCGTCGTCGCCTCGTCCACCGTCGTCCAGCTATCTCAGCAATTTCCTATAGAAATTCTTTTGTTTAATAACTGTTAATGATTTGTATTGCCTTTGTATTTACCTACAAATTGTTGTTATATAGACTTTCGCCCCAGTCGCAGCCTTTCTACCCACGTGTTTGTCTGGCACATCGTTTGTTTTGTAGCCCTTGATAAAAAGGTTCAAAAGTCACTTTGGTACAGGCCCAAAATCGAACGGAGTTTGCGTCATTTGTTTGTTGTTATTGCTGCTTTTTATTGTTTTTGTTGGTTGTTATTCAATTTTAAAATTTTAAACCTTGATGTATGACAACTTTATATTGTTCTAAATGGCTTAAGGGCCCAAAGAGACCGACCGACCAAACAATGTCAAAGGTCATTTGCAAATTCTCTTAAATTTACCAAAGAGAACAGCAAATAAATAGTTTCGACATACCACAACAATCCAACAGCATATTTTTTTAATTTTGAGCTTAGATTGATTGTTGAATATCGTAAGAATACAAAATTAACGATTAGCGATTAGCTCATTTACCATTTCCAACGCTTACTTAATTCATAGGTTAGTCATTAACTTGGATTAATCCCAGATCATTTCATCTTCCGTAGTAAACAGCATATTTAAATGTTAAAACAAATAAGCATGTGTTTTTGATAAAGCTAATCCCAGCTTAGGTTTTCCTGGATCTTCATACAAATCTAACTGAATTGGCAAAAATAGCGTCTTTGACTTGGGCTCAATTTGTTTGTCAAAATCATGCCAGAAATGGAGGACTCTGTTCCTGGTAACTGCCCCTTATAAACGTCAAACCAAATGTTCTTCTATGATTTTAATGATTGCAAATAAATAGCTTTTCATTCGTATGAAGTTATATACTAAATATGTTATATACCATGAGGAGTCGACAGTCGAGAGTTTTTACACATATTGGTACCACGTGAGTGCCATATATTTAAAAAAGATAACCCACATCCGAAGAGGTTGCCATTTAATAGACAATGCAGGGCCCGATATCGATATGGATGTAGATATGATGGGCCACTCTCTGCGAGTTGTTGATAATTAAATATGTTCATTGCATTGGCAGGCGGCATAAAAAACTTGAATGTTATTTTTAGAGTGGAGAAGCTAAGGTGAGGTGAGATGGGGAAGGGGACCAAAGAAAAAGAGGCTGTTGGAGGCACATTCTGTCTGTCTGCCACTTGACGGCGACGTGGGCAGTTTGCCCTTGCGTTTAAAAATAAGACTGCAACTGTAAACAGGGGCAAGTCGAGACGGCAAAAATAAATGCAGTTTGTACGTTTATTGATTCAACTTTTTGCTGCCACAAAATGTTTGCGACAAGTTTTCACCCAGCCTGACAGTTTGATGTGAGCGCGAGGCAAGTTTAAGCTGCTGTTTTTTGAGACTAAGTTTCAGCCTCTGTGTGTCTGTGTTTCTCTCCTCACTTTCCATATTAATTATGCAACCCGTGGCAAAGCAAAACAATCGATCAATCAGCTTGCCACATGCGGCAGCAACAAGCGGCAGAAGCGTTTGGTAATAAGTCGAAGCCACAAAAATGTTGCACACCCGATTGTGGCTGTAGTTGTTGTTATTGTTTTTTGCAGTTTAGTTACGCGAAATCAACTCTCGGTTTTTATACCCATTAAAAATGGGTAAATAGGGTATATTGTTTTTGTGCAAATGTATGTAACAGGCAGAAGGAAGCATATCCGACCACATAAATTATATATAATCTTGATCAGCATCAATAGCCGAGTCGATCTAGCCATGTCCATCTGTCTGTCTGTCTGTCTGTCCGTATGTATGAACGCAAGGATCTCAGAACCTATAAGAGCTAGAGACTTAAAATGTTACCTGTAGGTCCTCCTAGTGCCTGCGCAGATCGAGTTTGTTTCCAATAATCGATAACTTACTCCGTTTCCAAGCAATCGATAAAAATCGATATCGATATCCTGTTTTTTGGGCAATTTTGGTAAATAATAAGAGCTAGAGTCCCCAAACTTGACATAACTACTAAAATAAAATATATATATGAATTTGATGTTGAAAGAAGAGGGTTCAGGGTATCCCCTAGTCGGGAGCTCCCGACTAAAACCTCTTGTTTTAATTTATCCGTATTGCTTTAAACGAGCGCGTTGCGCGAAGTGCATTTGGTGTTGGAATAAGAGGGTTCAGGGTATTCCCTAGTCGGGAGCTCCCGACTAGAACCCCTTACTTGATTTTTATTTTTTCTGCCAACAATTATTTAGCTGACTTTTCCGCACACAGCCAAATCGAATCGTTAACATGCAACAAAAAAAACGAAAACAAAATAGTTTCTTTAATAAACCCAAACGGCAAACTGCCAAGAAATGTGGCAAATGCATTTCTTGTGGATTCGTTTATTTATTACGATATATGTATAAGTATATATCTATTTTTTCTTGCCTTAGATTTCTTCAAGCAAATTGCAGTGGAGAATTCCGCGCTGGCCGTTTTATACAAATTATTACAAATATAGCGATTGCGTTAATGCACACACGATCAGCTTAAACTGCGCATGATATACTCTGTAAAAATGTAAAAATAATTTTAGGCAGCCCACTCAAAAGTTTATCCTGTCTACAGAAGATATAACTAAGATTTAAAATTCAATTAAGTCTCTTATATATATAAAGGGCATATGGGGGCAATCGTGGGCGAGCATTTGTCATAGCTTACAATTGAATATAAAATGGGCACAAATGTGTAGCTTTCAATTTTATAAACAATTGCCAGAAATGTCTATTGCCAACGCCTCCATTGCTTTTTACCCAATAACAATCAAGGGCTTGTCTGTCCGCAACTTCAATGAAATGTCCAATACGTCCCACACATGAAGAGCCCTGCAAGCCCATTGCAGACCAAATGCGAACTCAACTTTTAACAAACAAAATGTACAAAATAAATAATTTGAACAATTAAAACATTACACAGTTGTTGCCTTGAATCACTCCGCACCTGCCTTCAATTAATATGGTCTGTTTCTTATGCCCAATTGCATTAATAAATAATTGAATTATTATTCTCTATACTTTAATTGCGTTGTGGTTTCTCTTTTTATCGGAAAACTCATTCTTAGGTAATACATATAAATATATATGCCTTTTCAATTAGCGCATTTTAACCCAATTATAGGGAACTATATGTTATTACTAATCAGTTTTGCCGAAGCACCTGAAAAGGTTTGCGCCAATTCAAAGAAAATCTCGCAATGTTTTTATTCAACAGAATGTTATATTTTTAGTTTGTGTGGGCGTGACTGTGGGTAGGCGTTGGTGGGCGGTTTTCGCTATAAAAAGCGTGCAACCCTCACCTCACCTTGACACGGTTTTCGGGGACAACGCCATATTAACAAGAGTGCCCAGGTGCAATTTAATTGCTGCCAAGATTTACTTAGCAAAAGGGGAGAAGGGAATCCAAAGTGTACCGTAGGGAATCTGTGTGTGCTGTGGTGGTCTTCATGGACCAGGTATTTACAAAATACCTTTACTCAAATTAAGGTTTGATTACAATTACTTTGAGTTCCTCTGACAGTTTTCTGTTTTTTTTTTTCACAGAAACTTTTGCGGCCTCAAGTGACTTATCCACAGCATCCGCCACTGCCAAAACCAGCTGCCAGCAACAAGTAGAGGAACAACAACAGCAACAACAACCATCGGACGAATCAGTTGGCTCCTCAGCTCGAGTCTCGTATCGGGGACAGCATCCGCACTTTCATCATCATACGACGCCCGCCTATTACACGGATCTGCAGCTGCGCATCCATACGCCGAATGCGTCGGATGTTGGTGCGTTGAATGAGAATTATCAGAGTGTGTACAGCACGCCCAGCACTCAGCTGGTGGAGCAGCGCAGCTTTCCCAAGACAAGTGCGGCCCCAGCAAATCAACGAGCAACATTTTTTCGACTTGGCGACTCTGTGTCCACAGGGAAAAACAACGGAAGCAGCAGCAGCAGCAAGGAACGCTGCGCCAAATCCTTGCCGCCCTCTGTGAACCCTACAAAAGGTGAAGAAGTTAGCCGAACCGAATCCTCCCCCCAAAATCCTATTATTGCCAGCAATAGTAGTTGTAGATCACCCGTAGCCCCCCTGGCTAGCCCCGTAGTAGTTGCTGGTGTGTCCGGCCGCAACAGTCGCCACACACATCGCTTCCAGCAGCGCTCCAAGCGGGCCGTGCGAGTGCGCAGCGAGTCGCGTCCAATTAGCGCGCTCTACGACATAATATGCAAGGAGAAGGGCCTCGACGTAGGCGATTCGACCACGACCAGCAGCAGCAGCAACAGCAGCAACGAGGAGCAGCAACCGGAGGAGCAGCCAAAGCAGCAGCAGCAGCAAAAGGAGTTGGACAAAAGCGACAAGCTGGCGACCTTTTGGCCCTTGCATCACCAATTCCACAGACCTTCAATGAGCAGCGTTAACAGAAGCCCGAAATCGGAGCAGTCGGATAAGCGCCAGCAGCTGACCAAGCAGAAGCGCGTTCGCGCCTCAGCTGATGCCGCCGGTTCCACGGATGACAACGACGATGAATCACCCTATGCGCTGCACTCTAGTCAGAAGACAACCAATCTGGGTCTGAGCAAGGCCAACTCGCTGCCGCCCTCAGAGTCAATGTCGAGCTACCTCAAGCAGCATGCGCAGCCCCAGCTCCAGCTCCAGTTGGCGCAGCCCCAGCTCCAGTCGGCTTCGGCCATGCCAGCAGTTCATCTGTTGGAGGATCCACCATTGACGCATGAGCGCGCGGCCAAAAGCCTCGAGCCAGCTGCAAGGATAACGTCTTCGGCCTCGCAGCTGGTGATGAGCTACATGGACGGCCAGCCGTTTAGTACGGAGCGCATGTTTGTGGAGCCACCGAAGCTGTCGCTGCCGGAGCTCAACCGTCGGGTCAGCAGCAAGAAGCAGCTGGACGCGGACGAGCAGCAGGAATTGAATTCGAGCCCTTACAAGGAGGGCGAGGTCTTAGAGACGCTCGCTCGCTGGCAACAGGAGCTGAGCTCCACCAATGACAAGTCCGCGCAGTTTTTAAACGGTGCTAATGGTCACAATCATCATCATCCTTATCAGCGCGAACATCATTATCATGAACTGTCCGCATCTCCCGCACCATCTGACCATCTGTATCCCGTGGCACTAGAAGATCCTCAACAGACCCAGACCCAGTCTCAGCCTCAGTCGCAATCCAATCATCACCATCACCAGGCGACCAACGCACGCAGGTAAGTGCCACCTCCTATATTTATCTACATTTACATCTCTACTGACTGACTGTCTGACTGACTGATTGATGATCAATGCACAGCCCAAACCGTAAGAGTTAGGAAGTTGCAATTTTCAACGTACTTACCTTAAATTGTGGAATTGCACGTTAGGACGGGGATTCGGGAAATTCCACCCGCATGTGTGGAAAAATCGCGAAAAACGTTTGTATGTAACTTCCATTCGATCGGCCTGAAACTTATTTTCAAAGATCTTTTGTTCAAATTCTTTTGTGGCGTGTTTCATATTTTTCAAAAAAATTTGGTTTATTTTTTATGTTTATTATTTCGAATAAAAGTGAAATTATCTGTCGTCGCGCTAACTTGTAGATGAACTATTGTCGCTTCAACAAATTGTATTCAATTGTGCTTAGAGCTCGGTCACAAATCTTCACCAGACATTGTTACACAATTTGATGGCGGGCCCCCAAAACAACTCATCAGAGACAACAACAACAACTCAGCTCTTGTTAGCAAGCCAAAGCTGTGCATTGTTCAATTTGTTGCTAATAATGCGCTTTTATGTGGTCCATTGTTTTGTTTTGAGATTTCCAAGTTGGATCTTTTGGACATCTTGGCCGTGGCGAGTGCGATTCGACGTCTCCATCAATTATAATGGGATAAATCAAAAACAATGGCGCATTGACGCTGTCAGCCACTGACCCCGACACCGACACCCAAGAGCCCAACCCCGGAACCCGGCTTTAGAAAGCACCTGTTGAACATCCAAGACCGAAGCTGACAAACCGACAAACCGAAAACCGGGCGACAAGTTTTCCATAGGCCGTCCGCCGGCTTTCGCTACAAAAATTCCTCATAAAAGCGACTACAAACAACCAAAAAAAAAAAAATATCTATATATATAAAATAAAAAACAAGCAAAAGAAAGAGTGGAAAATTGTCAAAAAAAAATGCATTCAGCGTAGAATTTGAGCTAAGAAAATTTGAATGCGTTCAATTAAGCTTGGAATTTATTGACCCCGTCCCGGCCCAGTCTCTGAAAGCCACCTGCGGTGCTTAGGCATCAGCCTTAACCATCTACTCGACTATTTATTTTATGACCAAGTCGAGACCAAGTCGGGCCTGGCCCAGGTATTGCGTCTCGCCGTCTGGCGGCTTCTTCTAGTCCTGATTTCGCTTTCTGGCAGCTGCAGCTGCGCAGCCGAAAATGTGGCCAACCGGTTCCTGCTGCTGCTGTCGGTGCATCACTTTTCCTTTTTTCCAAAAGCTTCTCTCTCAGTCAACTAGTTGGAAAGTTCTTTTTCCAAATGCATTCAACAGCTAGCTGTCAAATCTTTTTACCTACAAGTATTTAAGTCTTGGACATTTCCGTTTGGCAGTTGACTAAAAACGTCTGAAAATAAAATGACGTTAATGAAGATAAAGTTGTGGCTGGCTCTCTAGATTCGAATACTCTTGAAAATGATACCTTCACATCTAGAAGTTGTTTGGGTTTGAACAGGGATTATGCAAAATATCTAAAGAATTATTCCGAAATGTATCCTGGCTGCTGCTTCAGTTAATGAACCTATATTCTAACATCTAAATGTTTTTTTGGGATTAGGCAGGGATTAGGTCAAGAGCTTGTTAACAGACAGTAAACTAAATAAAATTCCTGTTCTGAAATGTATCCTAGCTTCTCCAGTTAATGAACCTATATCCTAGCATTTAGATGTTGTTTGCGTTTGGGCAGGGATTATGAAAAGTATCTTTGGACAGCAAACCAAGTCAAATTCCGTGTGCTCAATCATTTCTGAAATGTATCCTATCTCCTCCAGTTGATGAACCTGAATGTCGCGACATTTTAATGAGCTGCTTGTTGATTTAAAAAATTAGTTTATTGACCGACCGACCGTCCGACTGACTGACTGCGTGAACAGTGAACTGCAACACATTGAGGAAATCAAATGCTGACCATTTGCAGCGTAGTTTCAGCCGAATGGATATCATTTACATGACAGACAGCAAACAGTCGACATTGAGATACTTTTTGTATCTACTACCTGCCCAAAAGTAAATAGCTTGTTGCGCTTTGTTCTTGATGTGTTGCTGCGACGCAGACTTAAAGATAAAAGATACACAACGGGAACAACACGACACGAATTGTGTTTATTTCGAATACTCAGCTACCTGGGCCCCAGTACGAGCATCTTTTGTATGTGCGAATTTTCGCTCTTTTCGCTGTTTGCGGCTTGAGTGTGTTTTTGAGTTAATTTGTAGCTATACTGTCTGAGTGTATCTGCAAGATACAAACACACACACAACATGCGGCGGCAAAAACCCAAAAAACCTCTTGTTATTAGCTTCGCTTGCCGCTTGTTGTTGTAGTCAATGTTGTTGTTGTCATTGTTGTTGTTGTCGTTCCGTTCGCTCGAGCTTGGGTTAGCAGAGATACTTTCGGTTTGGCCGTCGGCAGTTGTTGAGCGTGTTTGAAGGTGTCTAGCTGTGTGCTGCATCTAGCGGAACGCAAAACCCAAAAACTGTTTTTCATATCCATTGCAATTTTTAGCGAACCGATAACTCAGCTTGATATCTGACAGACACATTTACCAGCTGGCACCATGTAAATGCCTAAACCCCATACTCTTACACAATTTTTCTTACATTATTTTTTGTTTCGCCTGCAGATTCATAACTCGGACGCCGCGCTCCGGCAGCCGTCAAAGTGCAGGCCACTCGTCGCCGCCACCGCCAGCCGGCTATCACAGCGACTCATCCTACAGCTCGCCATCGCCCACACGTAGACACCACCCAGCAACAACTGCAACAGCTGCAACAGAAGTAATTGCAACCGATCCGCAATCCTCAGCGAACGGCAACAGCTCCGCTTATGAGACGGCAGCCACCTCTGTGATGACACATGCCAAGCCGGCGCCAGATCAATTGCAGGCCGGGCACATTGAAGTTCCTAAGACTACGTCACCAGCGTCTCAGACAAACGCAACGTCCGTCGTCAGCACACGGCCCGCATCCATCAACTCAGGTGAGTTTTCAGGTGGAGCATATTCCATATTCTATAGATATATTTGCTTTGTGTCCGTGTTTGCGTACGTCCTTTTGTTGTCTCCCTTGTTTGTAATTTATTTCCTTGTCTGTTGCATTCTTATTTATTAACTTTTGCATATTATCTGTCATAGTATAACTTCTTTCTTTTAAGCAGCTTTAAATGCTTATTTTTCTAGGCTGCAGCCATTTTATGACTTCTCCTCTCCTCCTCATTAATATTTTTATATAAGTCTTATTTTTAGGCATTGAAAAGTATTCTCTACTTTCAGTCTGTAACTTTAGGGTTTTCCAATAGATCTCTACATTGCCAAGCACATCCTTTCTATAAATATCTTTTATCATCTGCTTATTCGAATCTTACCCCCCTGCAGCTCTTGACTCTTTACTCTGATCCATCAGTTTTTGTAGCAAAAGCTTTCCCACTAAACAATAAACACCATAATTAGCCGTAAAGGTGCGCTGTCAACGTTTTAAACTGAAAATTAGCTGAACTCTTGTCGAGTCGCAGAAAATACTTGAAAATGTTACCAGGTTTTTTTCGAGCACTTAAAAGTAATTTGAACCAAATTAGATCTTATACAGCTTTTGCCAATCAAGCGAAAATGTTTGCCACACAAATTCGCAAAAAGACCTTCGAACTAAAAGCTAAAAAAAATATAAAAATAGAAATAAATAATCTATACACCTGCACAACTTTCAATCGATTCGTATCGGGTTAATGTCCGAAAATTATATAAAATAATTTGCACAATTTCAAAACAAATTTTTGATATTGCAGTTTAAGCAATTTGGTTATTATCGCATTTGATCTATAGATCTAAAAATTAGTTTTGCAATATTGAATATTTTTGCTATTATAAAATCCTTCAATAATAACCAGATCTCACGCAACTTAGGCAAATGAAAGACCTCATAAAACTATAAAAAATAATTTAATAAAGATACGACAAGCTGTGCCCAATTTAATTTAAATTTCATTTTAAACAAACGAACGTTTCATTCATTCAAAGTTTTGCCATCTTCTTTTTATTATCAGTTTGTAAAAGAGTTTCATAAAAAATTTTGACAGCTCTCATAACGGGGCGCAGCTTGAGAAAGTGTCTCAAGACTTGATAAATTTACATATTTGATGTGCTGGAAACTTTAAATGATCTGATACATTAAATTAGTATTTTTTACCAAACCAAAAAGTTCTAGGTAATAAATAAATAAATTGTTAGTTTAAAAAGGGTTTAAGTTCAATTTTCCAAGCCGGTATCTTTTCTTTTATTATTTACCCATTTTGCAACATTATTTTATGTATATTTTTTTTTTATTTGGGCCTTGGGGCTTGTTGCCCATTTCAACATTATTGTTTGGACTCATCCGATATTAATTTCATTTCTTTGTTTATTTTGGCTGTGGTCGCTGTTGCCACATCAAATCGGTGGCAGGTTTTTTTCGGGAATTGTGTTTAGGGCAATGTTCGAGCCAAAAAGTTTACTGATCTTTGACTGACAAACAGCCAGAAGTGGCAATGAACCGAAGCTGTTCGTCAGCTTGTTTCTCTTCAGTTAGAAGTTTACCTAAGTCAAATGGGCAGACGATCTGAGAGGTGATAGAGAAGGAAAAACAATGATATATTGTTAATATTTTCAGTTTTGGCCATGGCCAAATGCTGAGTTCATCAGCACTTAAAATATTCATAGCTTTCGCCAGTTATGACATCTTTTTGTTTGAACGAAAATAAAAGCCAGTTGCCAACAAACCGCATCGATCAATCCATCAATCAATCGCCGTGTGCCACGCCCTGTTGTTACTTAAATTGCATATGTTGCAATTGACGCTTGTATTGTCTACATTAAAGTGGAGATTTATAGTTCAATTTGATGAATAAGTTACTCCGTTCATTTTCTGATCGTGAACTAAGTCGGTCAGTTAGTTCACTCATTCAGCTATTGAGTCAGTAATGAACTATTCGTTAAGTTTAGCTATCGATTTATTATTTTTCATGTTTTCAGTTTCAAAACATATCATATATTTATGCTTATTATACTTTTACATTGATAATAGATACGTATAACTCAACAAATCGAAAGTGAACTTAAAATTCCGATATTTTTGTTGTTCATTATATACTGAACATCTCAATATAATGTATGCTGAATAAGGGAACGAACTGAACTAACTGACTAATCACTGAATAAGTTCAGTAATGACCCGTTAATTGTGAACTAAATTACTGATTTAGTTCACTACTGCCTTGATTTGTTTAGTATTTAGTTCACTAGTTCATTTTAAGATCCCGTTCAATCGATCTTGGTCTCAGCTAAACGACACAACTATAGTCTACATCTTGCAAGCACTCACAAATACACTCACACACACACACACGCGACACAACAGCATATAACCAGATATCAATTGCTTTAATGTCTTCCAAACATACATTCATGCATATCCTTAAAAACATGTCAACTGCTGCGACACAGCGAGCCACAACACAGTTTCCTCTGGAAGCGCCAACAACAAACGCAGCATTCATTTCACCTGCAACAACAACAACAACAACATCAGCAGAAGCAACAGCCGCAGTCGCTTCAGTCGCAGCAACAATAACAGTCAACTGCAACATTGCCGCATTGTTAGTCAGGCCACGCCCATGCCGCCTCTCGCCACGCCATTAATTGTGCTCAAAGCAACAGCATTAACAGCAGTTACAGCATCGACGCCGGCAGCGACGACGCCGACAGCAGCGTCGCCTTCCAAGCGGCGCAAAAATTTGCTGTCGCCGCTGCGCATTGTCGGCGCGGGCAGCAGCACGCACACGTCCACGTCCGCAGCCACGCCCCCGCAGGGCAGTCCACTCTTGAGCAGCTCCTCATCCTCGCCCCAATCCTCGCCAGCGGTGCGCACCACCAAAGCCAGTCGACTGCGTGCCGCAGCGCTCGGTGAGTCACCCACAAGTCACATTTGCCTCAGCTCCTTCCTCCCTCTACTGCACAAACGCACATGATTCTCCCCATTTGGTGTTGGTTTCCTCTTCCCCTTTGTTATAGTAGTTGTTAACCTAGTTAAGCTGAAGATTCCAACTAACTGCCATATCATGCTGTCTTCCTAACCATTGCAACACACACACAACACGCCGCAGACCGCAAAAAAGAGGAGGATCAGCAGCAGCAGCGTCCACGTTTCAGTTCTCCCAGTGCGCTGCGAACGAACTCCACGCCGCCGGCTCGACGACTGAGCAGCTCGGAGCTGTCGCCCAAGTGCAGCGGATTCAGGTCCGATCCCAGCGGCAGTGCCGCCCGTCTGCAGCCGCCGGCGCGGTCCGCTTCACAGCCAACGGAGCCCTTCGAGCGCCGCCCACTGGTGGCCACGGCCAATAACGTGATCATGAAGCAGAATCTGTGCGAGCTACATTTCACGGGCGGCATACTCAGTCCGCCCAAGATGGAGTGCACGTTGCGCATGCGTCCCCGGAGCTCCACACTGTGCGACGAAGCGGAGCCCGAGAGCGGAAGTGCTGCGGCGAGCAGGCCACGTGATAATCTGACCAACTCCAAGCTGAGTCCCGTGCAAAAGCACAAGCAAACCGTGAGTAGTCCGTCTAAAATATACAGAGCTGAAAATAAATCCCAATTAATTTTAGCCGGAGGCCTCACCTCTGCCACGTCGCGGCGGCGATCGCGACAAATCGGCCAAGCGTAAATCAAACCTGAACCGATCCCACAATGAGGAAGCCACCAAGGATAGCGGTAAGTAGGCCACCGAGCTCGGGCAGAGTGGCAACCGGGCAGAGTGGCAACCAGTAAGGGGCAACCATCCAATAGACTGGAGCTTGGAGCTAATCGAACGGAATCATACGATTACACATTCAGTTCTTGCATCTGCGTCAATTTGTGTTGCACGAAAGCTCCCTGTCCATTACGTGCTCCCACTGTCATGCATGTCCCAGCCAATTGATGCTTGTTTCCAGCATTTTAGGTGATTCATCTAATCCTTGTCCACTTTTGCTTGCAGATGAGGCTGCGTCTGTGCGTAGACGACGGCGTCGCGAACTGGGCATGGCTCGCCCGCTGCTGCCAGGGGATGACGAGTCGCTGCGAGAGTTGTTGCAGTCGCCGCAGAAGAGCTCCTGCAGTGAGTCCACCTCCAAGTCGGAGTCGTTGCGCCAGGCACGCGGCATTAGCCAGAAGCTCAACGAGCGCACCAAAACGGAGCTGGCCGAGATCAAGAAGATTGCCGAACAGGCGCAGCAGCCTGATGAGACATGCAACGAGCAGCAGCCACAGGATCTGAAAATGTCGCCCATACTGCGACGAAAGAGCACGGATGAGCTGGCTGCCTCGGTAGCAACAACACAGAATTCACCGCCCGCACCCAACCAGATTGTCTCCATATTGAAGAAGAAGGAGCACGCGTTCGGCGAGTGCAACTCGAGCGCTTCCAGCAATGCCTCGCCGGTGACCTTCTCCGCCACGGTGCTGGACACGCCGCTGGCGAGCAGCCGCAGTAAGCGCCAGGGCATACTGAAAAAGCGATCCAGCCTGGACGAATCGCGCTACTATTCGCGCTCCCATTCGCCGGACGAACGTAGCATTCTCATCAAGTCAGCGCGTCGCAATTCACTGGAGGAGGCGGGCAGCGCTCTGAGTCCCGGCCAGGCACATGGCATCCTCAAGCAGAGCAGCTACGAAAGCACCAAGAGCGAGGGCTGCCCCTCGGCAAATGAATGCCAGCCTCATAGCATATTGAAGAAGAAGGACTCGCTGTCGACGCCCTCGGATGGCGGTGCGCACATATCCAAGCATGTGTCCATCTCGCAGGCAGTTACGTTGGCTGCCGCCGAGCTAGCCGCACATGACAGCGTAATCATGGGCCCCGAGGATGGGGAGGAGCATGAAATACGACCCATACTTAAGCAGGAGAGCACCTCCAGCGAGGAGGCGACGCGCCCGCCGAAGCCCATTCTCAAGAAGAAATCATTCGGCGAGGCGGACGAGCACGAGATTCGGCCCATACTCAAGAGCAGTCGCAAGAGCAGCCGCGAGGAGTTCGACCTCAGTGAGGTCACCCAGGAAGCCTATGACCCGACTGCCAATGAGGCAGCCGCCATGCGTCCCATATTGAAAACTGATTCGCCTTCCAAGCGTCGCTCGCTCTGTTCCACGCAAGCCAAAGAAGAGGACAGCTCGGCAAGTCTACTCAAGCGACGCACACGCTCGCTGGAGCGTCAGGATGCTCCGCCCCACATGGACCTGGCTGCCGCCTTGGATGCCATAACCAACTCGCAGGCGACAGCCACACCCCTCACGCCCGTTGACCTGGTGGCGACGCCATCGAACATCTCGGTAGCCGAGCGCATCAAGCACATGGAAATGCTCTCGACACCCACTTCCCAATCAGCCGGCGGCGCAGCTGTTGGCATAAACAGCAGCTGGGAATCCCCGCTGCAGCACGACTCGAGCCTCACGCCAAAGCTGCTCAAGCCCAGCGTTCTGCGCCGGGACCTCTACAAGGATCGCTTCAAGACGCAGCCCGTAACCAGCGAGGAGAAGAGCTTGTAAGTTGCGAACAATTTGAAAATGTCTCCAAATCTCTCTCCCCCCCTCTCTCTCTCTCTCTCTCCGCATTTTAATCCGCTTCGCTGGCAAAAGAATTTCCAGTCTAGATTTATTCATGATTTATTTTTAAATGTTCGAGAGCGCCAGACGCCGTGCCCTGCTGGTCATTCGACATTCCTATGTTTCAGTCTTGTGGTATATTATTAACCCATCAGCAAGAAGAAGCAAATAGGCCCTAGAGTGTACGCTGAAGACCTACCTTGAACCTAGATTGCGAGACTGTTGACAAACCGAAAATGTCAACTACGATTGCCGTCAAGGCTTAATCGAGGTTCAATTGCCCTATCACAAATTTTATTTCAATTTTCTTTAACATTATTGTTGTTGTTGTCTCGAAATGTGTAACGCATAGAAGGACACATCTTTGGCCCCATAAAGTTTAAAGCTATCGTCATAAAACTTTGCAGAAGTTTCTCTTTGTGCTCGGATCGGACCGTTTAATATAGGTGCCATAGGAACGATCGGTCTAGAATTAAGTTGTATGAAAATTTTTTTATTTTTCAAGATATCACGACCATACTCGTCTTTAACTAGTTTCGCTGTGCTTCTTAGATACGGGCAAAGCATTATGAGCATTATGAAAAGGTTGGGTCTGCAAGGGTATTAAATCTTCGGCGTGCCGAAGATTGCCCCTCTTTCTCGGTTTTTATTAGCCTCATTTTGCTGTTGCCTTTATTTGTTTTTGTTGTCACTTTAAGCAGCTTATAGCTTGCTTAATTACCTGACTGACCACGGATGCCAACTGCCAACTGTGCTGCAGTGCTTCAGTAAAGCCTGAAAAAAGAAGGTCGTTTGCTGAGAGTCACTTGAAGGGGTTCGAGTGGGTTGCAGTTGAGGGCTATTCTCAGATAACTTTGATAATATTTCGAATCGACTACCCGCAATATCTTTGGAACAATAATTGGCTTTTCGTGTGAACACGGGTTCAGTTTGGAGGAGGTGCAATTAGCCTAACCCAAGGTCACGCTATCATTTCGGCAATTAGTATGTACACGCCCATACCTAGAAACGCTTCAGCACGCCTTTTTTTTCAACTTAACTGTTTCGGCGACTTTTGACAAGTTCACGTTGATGGCACGTTCGTAAACCCAGTTTCCAGATAACTATTTTAGACTAGTTACGACTGGAATCGAGCCGGCACCTTCTGGAGAGTGGCCAATTTTTTCAACGGGGTTTTCGTGTCAGTATTTTATGTGTTTTGGCTTTTGTTCCGCTGCCACACCCCTTTTTTTCTGACGAACAAAACAAAAGCTGGTTATGGTTATTTGCAGCAGTATTCATATTGTTCTATGCCCATTAAAAAAACGAGGGTATACGAGAGGTATACAAACGTACAACGAACGCAGGTAAATCATATAAATGTCGAAAATTGTGTAAATAAAATCAAGAGTGGAGTTTATTGGGACGTAGATCTGTAGAAGCTAGAACACATAACATGCTATAAAAATCGGACTCCTATTTTTAAAATTTTCATATCATTTTTCGAGGTTCCTTGTTTGGTCTTATGAGGCTTTCAACATTTTAGAAATTGATCAAGATCCACGGTCTGCTAGGGTATTTAAGCTGCGGCTATCATAAAATACAACTTTCTTTTCATGTTTTTATTTTTCGGAGTTTATTGGGACGTAGATCTGCAGAAGCTGAAACACATAACTTTGCTTAAGATCCCGTTTCTAATTCTTTAAGTTTTCCATGTTTAAATGGAATTTTTCGGTATTCCCTTTTTTGAGGCTTTCAACATTTTTGGGTAGGGTATATAAGCTTCGGCCATCAAAATATGACTCTTTTATTGTTTATATTTTTCGCACTCTGCCACATTTGCATGTACCGATCCGATCCGATGCATTGTCAATAGCTTGGCGAACCATTGTGACGCGTAATTTATGCTATCCGTATTTGCCATCCCTCTCAAGGTTCTTGGGTTTTGAATTGTGGACGCGTCGTCGCGGTAGACATTGCATTCAGTTGGCTGCCGCATTCGGACGCGTCCAGAGATACATAACACCTGGTTCGGTCGGGGGCTGAGCTCTCTTGTTTTCATGTTGTTCCAGCGTCGACCCAGCGAGAGAATGTTTGAGGCGTATATCAGAAAACGGTATATGGAAAAGCGAAATGCGAAATGGAAATGCAAGCCATAAAAAGTCATCGACACGTCGATAAGTGCGTCATTGAGTGGGTTTGTCAAAGGTGTGAGATGAGGTGTCGCGTTTTAATGGCCAATACTTTGGCAGAAATTGGCCAGATAACATTAACGCTGTCAAGGGCCGATGTGCTACAAGTGAACATGTGTTGTCTAATGATTAATATTATTATCTACACGATTGGGTAACTAAAGTATGCGACCAGCATGGATTTTGAAACTCCTAGATTAGATAGCTGAATCGGCTCTGTTAATACATGGGTATTTAACGGTGAACATGCGTACTTTTATTTGTTTTAGCACTATTTAGTAAGACTTCGAAAATGTTTTCAAAAAGCCAAGCAACAATTGTCAAAATTCAACACGTGCTAGCTTTGGGCCAAATTATAACTGGGAATTTTAACGCCCGAACTTCAATTAAAGAAATATGAATTTATTTGCTCTGATAATTCCTATATACGATTATTCCCAACGTTGTTTCTTATAGGCTGTTCTCTTTAAGAGAAAATCCGAGGAACCGAATGTAAAGTTTACACCGACATTTTAAATTATGAAAAATAGAGGGAAAAAGGCGAAACAGGAATTTATTTAAAATTAATAAGCGTTAAAAGTATAGAGTATAGTAATATATGATTATTCTTAAAAACGAACTCTTCCATGCAATTTCTCTTTGGCGGTCGGAAGAGAAAAACCAAATGAAAAGCTTACAGCGACATTTGAAAATTGTGGAAAATAAAGGGAAAAATAGCGTACGAAAATAAATAAACGTTTGTATTGTGTACGTACATATATATGAAGACCATGGGCAATAAAAAGAAAACAAAGTTGAAAATAATTTAAATTTTGCTGTGGCCGCACCGACAGAGCAGCCGACGGCGACGGCGACTGCGACTGCGACTGAAGCATCGGCAGCGGCGCCGTTGATCGTCGGCTCCGCTTTGGGCGCTTTGTTTGTACGAATTTTGCGCTCAGTTGCTCGCGATCGCCTTTTCAATTTTCACGTACGCATCCGCTGAAAATTCGTTTTTCATATCGGGGGAAATTCTGTGTGAAATGTGTGTGTGTCAAGTGTTTGCCGTTACCAACGCCACAAAAGAAAATAAATAGTAAATGGTAATAAAAGCAATTTGAAACCGAAACTGATAAAACTATCAATTCTATCGGTTCTGTCGGCTCTTATCAGCCCACCTCAAGAACTAGACATAGGTGAAAAGAATAACGAAGGTGTCGCCAGTTGCTTTGTGCACCGGTTATCGGGCAGTACCCACAGGAAGAGGCAGTCGCCCTTTTTTGCCGGAGGGCCCAAAACGCGTGTTAATCTTGGCCATAGGTAGTTGTTACACACAAAACCAATAAAAAGCTTTGCCACAAGCAGCATTTCGTAATGCTTCTAAAAATAAATCCATGGAAATGTGCACTCAGATGGAAATACACACACACATAATATATTTTCAAGTGCCGTTCAAACAGTCAACAAAATTAGTGAAATTTGCACAAAATACACAAATATATATATATTAAAAAAAAGAATGCTTTACTAAGTTCAAGAAAAGTGCCAAATTCAATATATTTTCAGTGCTTCGTATACTCTTAAAAAACGAATCAAATTTTATGTCACATATATAAAACATATTCATGTGTCCACGATTATCGATTATGAGCGCAACAAGTTTCGGGCCAACGGGTTCGCGGTTAATCACAATTTGTATTATTCCCATTTCCACATTTGCTTTTTCTCTAGTTTTTTACTCTCTCGGGAATTATTGCTCTCACCATGCCCACTTTTGAAATCTAATTAGAACGTTTCTGTTTCTTTTTTTGGTTTTTTATTTTGTTTATTTATAGTTCTTTTTTTTCTGTACACTGCATACAAAATGCGGCTAATGTTTTGATTGGTTGATATAAACTCTCGCATAATGGAGTTCTAATCTGAACAAGTTGCAGATGAATTTCTAAATATAGATCGTTAGCGGTCTCCTCCTGACTTCGAAAATATCTTCTATGCTGCATGACAATACCCTCAGCCAGAGCTTAAAATTAGACACACTTATTGCGCTCAGCAAAAACACATTCGCTGCTAATCTATAAAGTTAATTGGCCACCTCAACTTTTACCTGAGGGTTGCCAATCCAAGAAGCGCGACATTCAAATTTCACCATTAATGAGAAAGAGCGGCTATATTCGCCACGCCGAAGATTTAATACCCTTGCAGAGCAAACCTTATAATAATACTCATAATGCTTTGCCCGTATCTAAGAGGCATTGGGAAAATATTTAGTGACGAGTTTGATTATGGTATCTTGAAGAACATAATGTTTTTTATACAGAATCTTACATTTCTACCGATCGTTAATGTGACAGCTGTATGATATAGTGGTCCAATCCAGCTAGTTCCGATATAAGTAGTCTGGCATGGCTAGATCGACTCGGCTCAATAGCCGATTTGATCAATATACTGATCAAATATATATATACTTTATGGGGTCGGATATGTCAGCTTTCTATGCGTTACACATTTCTAGACAAAATTATAATACCTTCTGTAAGGGTATAAAATGCGTGTAATTAGCGTAGGGAAAAAATCTTTGTCTATAATTATGATTGCGTCTAAGAGAGAGAGAGAGAGAGAGAGAGAGAGAGAGAGAGAGAGAGAGAGAGAGAGAGAGAGAGAGAGAGAGAGAGAGAGAGAGAGAGAGAGATTTATACTGTGCCCGAGCTTATCACAAATATAATCTCGCAACTTATTTAATTTGTCTGCAGCTTTCAAGCGAACTCGGCGCCATTTGACATTTCGGCAACGTCGGCCTTTAAGCCTACCAAGCCGCTGGACATTCGCATCGGAGCGCAGCTTCAGCAGCAGCAGCAGCAGCAACAACAACAGCCGTTAATTTCGCCCATCACCGGACAACCGTTAAGCCACGTGCCGGCCCCCCTGCTGCTCTCCTCGTCGACGCTTTCGACCGCCGGCAGCTCGTACCGTTTGGCGCGCAGCTCAACGCAGCCGCTGCAGTCGCCGCGCGTTGTTCACCTCGCCGCCCAGGGCGCAGGCACTTCGCCATCCACGTCCAGCTTGACAAATTCGCCGCAGTCTCTGCTGCGACAGCATTCGGTCAGCGTCAGTGACAGCGTCAGCCTTAGCGAACAGCTGACCGTGTCCGTGGGCAACGACAGCGAACACATCTTCGAGATGTCCGGCTTGGACAATGACTCGGCGTTGGGCGAGGATGCATCCACAGCCACCCAATCGAGCGGCATAGGCGTGGGCGTGGCACGCAGCAGCAGCGTTCGCGCGCGTGCCAACATGTTCCAGCAGTTGCAGGAGCAATCGCGCAGCCGTCGGGAGGCGGCCGGTAGAGAGCAGTTGCCGTCGCAATCCCGCTCGCTGGCCAACAGTCAAGGTAAGTGTGAACGAAAACAGCAAAAATATCCCATCATCACAGAAATTAGCATTAGGCCATTTACCGAAAGAGCTTGGAGAACTGCGAACTTTTTCGCCAGTCGAGCAGCGATGCGTAAAGCAACAACGGCAGCAACAACAACAACAACCACTACAATTATATTAAAAATACTAGCAAGAGAAAGACATGTTTCACGCTAGTTCCAAATAACTGTTTTCTGAGCTGGTGTGGCTCGAAGTGAACTAGTGAAAAGAGAACTACTTAATCAAGTCTTAAGACAGTTACTTATTCTTAGATCCTTAGAATTAAATGGGAAAACTTATCTAAAATATTGAAATTTTGCATATTTATATTTCCTTATAAACATATTATTGATAAAGTACGCTCATTCTCTAGATTATTTCCTTACGAAGATATTGCTGAATACTTGTATACGAAATATACTCATCATGTAGATCGCATGATTTTAGGAGTATACAACTTCAGGGCAATTCTCACTTTGTTGAAAGAGTTCAGTCTCTTGAACACCTTCATGGAGTACACTTCATAAGGAATGCTCCGCTTTTGTAGAAAGCAATGAGTCTCGGTCTGGTCATCACCCCACGTCAGTGAACGCTCCATGGGCGACACTTTATTTATTTCGCAAGCATTTTGTTGTTGCATTAGTCGATGTTGTTGTTGTAGAGTTGGTTCCATTATGGCCGGCATGGTAGTTGTCCAAGTTAATAAGCTGTAAAATGTGTGTCACTTGCCTAACATTCCCCTCCCTCCCGTCTGGCAATCCAGCCACTAATTGAGGTTACTATATTTTCGTTGAGTAACAGACTCGAATGAGATGGGGTGTGAGGGGAAAGGCAAAGAAAATTTACTAACTTGAAAACTTTAGATCTTATCTTAATATTTTGATTATAATGTCAAACAACAGGGCTCTGATAGTTACATCAAAACATTTGTATGCATATTCAGTCATTTACAAAACAAATATTTTTAAAATGGAGCCGTTACCAGGTGCACAATCTAGTTTTAATGAAAATTTAAAGTTTCAAATTGTGATCAACGTTTTAATGGATTTCGATTGTACGCAAAGTAAGTACAGCGAATGCGTGAGTGAGGGCAATAGCTAAAAGGAAGTTTAGGCATACATACACACAATTTTGTAGAGATTTATTCTAACTGTCTGTCTCTCCATTTCTCCCTCCCGCAGCAACTTCTCACCACTCGCCGCCGCCGTCGGCAACAGTCGACGGTGTTGCTCTGCACACTTCGGTATTAAACGACGAATCGAGTACGCCAAATACAACGCAGGATGCAACCGATGCCGAGTTCGGTAAGTGAAGTGCAGAGAGCATAGCTAACCTAAGAGAGCGAGAGAGCCAAGCTTATCTAACTTGCTCTCTTTTGCTTGTGCTGCCCTCTATACATGTTTACACGTTTCATTTGTTCTCTCTTTTGTTTTGCGTGCCTGAAATGCACGCAGCACAGCCTTGAATGCGAACATAACGAAAAGAAAAGAAAAGCAAAAAATAATACAAATAACTGCATATTGAATGTTGTTCTTGTTGTTGTGACTGTCCCAAGTGTAAGTTAAATACTTTACTTGTTTTGTTGTTGTTGCTGTTTCATGATTTGATCGCGCCTAACTAATTGCATTCGCGTTGCTCCAAAAATGATGCAATCAGCCAAATGCATAGCCTGGTTAAAGTCAACAATCGGCAAGAAGGAAAAAATGCATTAAAAAAAAAAAACAGTAAACAAAAATGAATAATTGAAAACGCAACCAGCGCCAAATTGCGCAATGCGAACAGAGAGAATAAAACATGAACAACAAAAAACAAACAAGTAAATCAGAGGCGAAAATATATACATACATACATACTAATGCATTTTTCTAATAATTTTCTTGGCATGCATTTGGATTTTAAGTTTTCTAACAAAATAATTGTTGTTACTGTTGTTGTTGTTGTTATTGTTGTTGTTGTTGCTGCTGCATGAACAACAAATAACAAATTATTTTTTTGATTTTTTACACATGTTTTATGTAATTGAGCTTCGATTTTGATTTACAGTTGCATTTGCTCGTACATTTGGCTAATTTTTGTTGGGTTTGGTTTCGATTTTTAGTTGCATAAACTATTCGATACCTTTTAGTACATTTAATTAAGCGTTCATAATTTTAGTGCCAAATTTTACCCACTTTTTTCTGGGCGAGTTTGGCTTCCTTCTTGTGAGTGAACCACTATTTTCAAGTTATTTTCGAATATGCGAACCTGGGCTTTTTTATCGTTATCAGAATTGAAGTTTGAGGAGCTGGGCAACAACTATTAACTGTCTAGAGGCGTGTTCCATAATTGTGGCGATAATAAAAGAGTCATAAAAACAAACAATTCGATAGCAATGCGATATATTTCAATACAAATAAGAGGTGCATGGATAAATAACTTAGGGGCAGTTACGGCTGGGTACCTTTATTTCATATAATATGGAACGAACGAGAAGAATGAATTCTAGAAAAATTGTAGAACAGATCGAAAAGAAACGAGGAAGAAGGGTTATCTTTGCCGGAGATTTAATACCCTTGCAGACCGAACCTTTTCATAATACTTTGCCCGTATTTAAAAAGCACAGGGAAAATAGTTAATGCCAAGTTTGGTTAAGATATCTTGAAAAACAAAAAGTTTTCCATACAAAAACTTAATTTTCTACCGATCGTTCCTATGACAGCTATATAATATAGTCGTCCGATCCAGCCGGTCGGAGGAACTTTTGTAGTTTCATGACAATAGCTTTCAAAGTGAGAGACTAGTTCACATAGAAACAGACAGAGGGAGGGAGGGACGGAAGGACGGACGGACATGGCCATATTGACTCGGCTGTTGATATTGATCAAGAACATATATACTTAATGGGGTCGGAGCTGTGTGCTTCTATGCGTTACACATTTCGAGACAGAATCAAAATACCCTCTGCCTGTACACAATCACAGACCCCAGCATAATTAGTTTATTTCTAACCGATCCACTTTGACTCATTTTGTGGTTTATTCATTCGACTCACTCCGTTATCGACAGAGTATTCAGTTTTGGTATTTCGATTGTGCACAAAGCGCGCGAGAGAAGAAAGAGGAAAAAAAATCGAAAGCTGCGATGAAAATGAAAATTTAAAAAAATCAGCATCAAAGAGAACAAAGAGCGAATCAGCTGCTGATGTGCGCGGACAAAAGACTCATGACAAATCACCAAGCAGACAAAAAACAAATCATAAAAAAAAGTCGACAATTTATAAAACTTTCTATGAAGAAACCAGAGCGAAGCGAAGAGTCCCATGAAAAAGTCGCGGTCAGTATTTAACGGGCGACAAATAAATACGAACGCAACGCGCAACACGTCGGATACTCATCGCAACAACAACAGCAACAACAACTTGCAACTTGCAACTTCAATTAAAATCTGCCTCATAGGGAACAACTTGTCAGCAACAACAAGAACTTGGCGTAGTACTAAAGAGAGAGTCAAAGGATGCGTAAGTGGTGTCACAGCCACGCCCCCCCCCCCCCCCTCCGCCCTTCGTCTATCAAATAACTTACTAAAAGAAAATTTGTTACTCATACACAACTCGTCCTTCCTCCTTCCTTCCCCTACATGCCAACAGAACCATCATCGTTGTCGCTGGCCGAACGGCTGGCCTTCTTCAGCAGCCTGTGCGAGGGCGCCGCATGTGGCAGCGGGGGCAACACGGCTTCCACGGGCGGCGCCCGCCTGCCCAGCGCCTCGCGCAGTCCGCCCTACGCCTCCATGATGGAGCGCTCGCCACGCAGCAGCACAACGGGCAGCAGCGTCAGCGTCACGCCCACGCCCATGGAATGCTCGCCCATCATACACGACCTCAAGCTGCCGCAGGAGCAGGCTCAGCTGGACGTGGAGCAGTTTCACAATGGCTTCCATGAGCTCAGCCGCTCGGCCACGGCGCCGACAACAGCGACAATAACCACGCCCCTACTCGATGCCGCGCCCACCGCACCGCGGCGCCTGAGATTACGCACGGTGGGTAAGCTAGTGCTGCCGGATACCTTCCTCACAGATCGCAACAAGAACAACAACAACAACAACGGGCATCGTAACAGCTGTCTGGGCCGCATGCAGACACTGGAAGACATACACATCTCAATGGGCGTGCGCACCATTGGCAAGATCAAGTCGCCGTTCATCGAGCAGCAGCATCAGCAGCAGCAGCACCAGCACCAGCACCAGTCCACGCCCACAGACACATCCCAGAGCAAGTCGGCCAAGCTTGAGCACCATGACAGTGGCGACGATGCGCACGGCTCGGATTCCGGCAAGGAGAACTGTGCCGCCAACCAGCAGAAGCGAGAAGAGGAGCAGCAGGCGTCACAGACGACACAGCATATACCGGAGCTGCGTCGCAAGCTGACGCACCTGGCCCAGATCACGGTGCAACAGAAGGCGCCGCAAATAAATCGCCGCCACACGACAGAGCTGGGCGGAAGCCCGGCCGCCGGCAATCGCTCGGCGAACCGCTCACAGGTGGACGAGCGCTTCGCCAAGTACTTCGGACTCGATGAGAGCTACAACTCGACCACGACGCTGCTCAAGACGCGCTCCATGCCCACTAAAATGCAACAGCCCCAGGAGGCGCTCAATGAGCATGTGCGTCTGCCACATCTACAGGGCGCCGCCGCCAACTTTGGCCTGGGCACCAGCATTGTCCAGAGGCGTCGCGAGCTGCTCAAGCGCACGCGCGCCATGTCCTTCGAGACGTCCGCTTGTAATGGCTGCGTCAGCCCCACGGCCATGCCCAGTCCGAAACGGGCCCATTCTCCGGTGGGCGGCAACCCATCGCGGGGGGGGCTGAACATTGCCAGCTATGAGGATATTGTGATCACAGCGGATGAGCTGCATGCGGCCGGGCAGGAGTTTAGGCGATTGTGTGGCGAGATTTTGGGCACATGAAAAATTGTAAATTTTTGGCTAACCTATTAAAATTTCACAAATTTTTCGAATTGTTTCAAACCCCCCAACCCACTCCCAAAAACTACAAATACCATATTCCCCTTTCGATTAGCATTTTGTAAATTGTTGTGCTCACTCTCGGCGTCCAGAGCGCTCTTTTTTTACCCCCCCAAAAAAAAAAAAACAAAAAAGAAAAAGGTGACCCATGTGATTTGTGTGATAGATGCTCCTCCTACTCCTCAAAACGAATCGAATTAACAATAAATTAAAAAAAAAAACAAATCCCTAAAGCGAAACGACAAAAACTATATACATGCATCGTAATCACAATATGTTTTAATTCCCGCAGTTAATTCCAGTTAATTAGGGCAAATGAAAATGTGACTATAACATAAAGTTTAAGAACTTCCAGTAAAGAGTTATTAATTATGCATTACTATGTTTATTATAATTTAAATAGTGTGCAACTACTTGTGTGCTTATTTATGCCCTTTTTTTATTAATTATTTAATCGTAAACGAATTGTACCTTAAATGGCATTAATAATATATTAAATTATTATTAAACATTAAATTTATTATTGTAATATTTAATAATACGAATCGTTAAAAATTTAAATAAATCAATATTTGTGCTTCAAGAAATTTCAATCCGTACGCATCGCATAACCGCGCACTGCACGCCTTTCTATGCGCTTCTCATTTTGGCAATCTAACGTTCAAGCATGCAATATTATTTTTGCCTGAGTTTTTGTTTGTGGAACTTTTTCACATTACGCATGTTATTTCGAAGCACTCTATAACACTTTTCTCTTATCATACAGGTAAACCTGCCGAGGGTCTTAGGGGCATACTCAAGAGTGGTAAGCCCTTGGGCGGCATGGGTCGCGGTCTCATGCCCATCGATCTCAATGCGGAGCTCAAGAGTCGACTGCAGCGCTCCACCCATGCAACTGTCTCTAATCTTCGTAAGTCGGCGACAACAGCTAATGCGACGCGAGCCGCCGGCTCGGACGAAATCGACAACAGCTCAACGAATCCGCAACGCAACCTGGCCCAGATATTGCGTAATGTGCCCAAGGAGAATGCTGCGCAGCACGATGATACAGTCAGTTTGGTGCGCAACCTATCCTCGATAGGCTCGCCGCGTGCCGTCGCCGCCGCCGATGCGGCTGCCGGCCACAATAACTGTGCCTCCGCCTCCGAAGGCGAAAGTTCCGGCGGTCGCGAGATCGAGGCAATCATTAAGAACAGCGCCGTTGCCCGACGCCGACGCCAGCAGCAGCAGCAACAGCAGCCAGATGGGTGAGTCCACGTCCCAGCTCGTGTCCATCGTCAACTGCTTCCTCCTGTGCTGTACGCTGTTAATGTACTAACCACTAGCTACTAACCGATGTTAACTAACAGTTTCACGGGTGAGCTGCAAATACCACACACACACTCACACACAGCAGACAGACAGACAGTGCATCAATGTGTGTGTGTGTGTGCTCCTCAAGACTGGTTCCACGAATGTGCAATTTATAAATACAAAACTTTTATATTTGCAATTATACAAGAAAAGAGCTGCTTGATTTTGGCATACCCTGTATTCAGTTCTGACTGAATTTACAGCGAGATTCTGTTAAATTCGGTTTATGTTTCATATTTAACACACCGCTGTAAATTAACAGTTTCACGAGTTGGTGCCTGAGCTGTAAATACATACACACACACACGCCTAGGCACAGCCAGACAGGCATTGCATTAATGTGTGTGTGTGCCTCTCAAGACTGGTTCCACAATTGTGTAATTCATAAACTACAAACATTTTTACACCTTGGCAACATTTGCAATTAGGCAAGAAACCAAATGAAAAGAGCTGCTTGATTTTGGCATACCCTGTATTCAGTTCTGGCTAAATTCACAGTAGGATTCTGTTAAATTTGGTTTATGTTTCATATTTCAAGACACATTGTATGTTTGTGTTAAACAAAAGTTTTCTTTATTGATTCAACAATAATTTATTTCAAATTTCCCGAAATAAAAAACCAGCAAAAGTTTCCTTGTCAATGTGAAACCAGTTGCCAGATGCTATTATTGGCGTCCCGTTCAGGCGCCTCAACAGACACAGCAACAAAAACAACAACAACAACAACGTCAACTGCAGGTGCTGTACCCACAACAACAACAACAACAACTACAACAACAAAAACAACAGCTATACAATTTTGTGCAACAAAAACAAATGCTATAGAATATACTTTGTATAAATGCATAAATGGAAATGTTTATCATAAGTTCAATTTGCATTGCTTACTAAATAATATACAAATACATATTAATAAAAATATCTATTTATTTTATAGACAATTTATTTAAAATGAAAACACAACAATTTGCCACATATTTTTGCGTGACACACTAAAATGAATACAAATAATAACTATTAATAATAAAGTTGACAAAATCCCATTTAACTGTAGTTTGTTTGCCACTTATCCTGTTGTAATACTAATAAATAAATGCCTGCATGTTCGGTTAAGCTTAAATTCAAATTTGCCGCCTCGTGATGCGGCTGAGCTGTCAAATGGAAAAACGGAAAAAGCGAGGTGGCAACACCCGGTCGGTTAGGTTAACCGTGAGCGTTTGTGTCTACGCTTAACAGAATTGCTCCTCATTATTGTCAGCAAATGTAGCAGACCTGTTGCAGTTTTAAAAGCACTGTGCTCAGTTTAAGCTCGACTAGGGAAGGCAGTTTTGTGTGCAAATTAAAATAAATATTTAAACTAATAATTATTAATTTTTACTATAAATAATTGATTTTTCTTAAGTGAGATGCAAAAAAAAAACATTCACTGTTTGCAAAACATATTTTTAAATGTCACAATGGAGAGTTAAATATCTGCGCTTTTAACAGCTGTTGCTTTGCTTCATGCACGAGATGTGTATATACACACATACACTACTTCGCCACGGTAAGCATGGAGCTCGCCGGGCTAATGTGATATTCATGCTTGGGTAAATTTATAACAGACGATTTGCAGAATGTTAACATTGCATTAGCAGACTAGTTTGGTTTGTACATTTGGCGAGAGTGGACGCGTTGCGGACGACGCTCTTATTTTCGTGTTTGTTTTCGGTTCGCGCGCGTTTTGTGCCGGTCGCAAATTGCAATTGAATTATGCAAATTTAATATTGTTTGCAAACGTTATTACGCTTGTGTGTGCTTGTGTGTGTGTATAACTGTTTCTTTTGTACGGTGCATCCAAATGCATAACTAAAAACTGCAGCAACAAAAGCCAGCTGCGCGTCATTTTCGACTGCATTTTCGCTATTCGCTTTTGTGATCAGTTCTTAATTTAATTGCATCCAATGATTGGCTTCAATTGAAAGCGCAAGTAAAAATGGCAACAAGGCAGCCGTCGTCTGCTTAGCACAAAATCGTGAGAGAATCTCGTGGGCTGCAGCACTATTAACACAGGTTTGTAACAACAGCTCAGACTGAAGCAATCGTCTTCTCGTTATGGGTAGTTTTTTGGTACTTGCAAGAGTGAGACAGAAAGAAAAAAAGAGCAAATATTATTCGAAGCTGACCAGTTTTGCACAGACTTTTTGTCGCTTCGTCCCCTTTAGCGCCCTTCTTCGTTACCTGCTGCACCGAACTACACAAGCAGCCAGCAACAACAGTAATAATGATAAAAACAAAATACAACAACAAAAAATAACCAACAACTGTAAATCGCCTTGTTCGCTTCCATTGAAAAATTCGCTGATTCAGCAGCAGCCGCAGCAGCAGCCGCGACTCAGATTTTTGTTGTTTTTATATTCTTATTGTTTTACTTACTTTATGCTTTATGCGGCTGTTGCCTTTTCTCTTGTTGTTGTGTTGTTGCCGTTAATTTGCACTTGGACATTTGTGGTCTATTGCTTTTTGCGTATTTTGTTGTTGTTGCTTTTGTTGCTTACAGTTCTGCTGCCGCTTTGTTGCCCGACTTAGTTGCCGTAAATACCCTGTAACATAGTTAAGGAAGGGTATGTTGATTTACAATAATTTCGTCTGAGTTTTTGTCAAAGTAAACACCATGTGTATTTATATATATTACTATCGTTGGCCGACATTGTTGCAGAAATACCCTGTGATAAAGTTTTTGAAGGGTACTTTGAATTTAAATATGTGATTGTGAAGTTTATAGAAGTAGACACGCCACAATGCGTATTTAAATATATGACTGATCGACACAGCCATGTCCATTTGTCTGTCTGTCAAGGGTATATCAATCTCGGCACCCCTTACATGAAGTCTTTTTTGCTATTGTTATTATTAATATTTTGGCTCAAGGTCGTCTCGTTTTAAGCATAGTTATTATTTTCTGCAATCAATCAATCAATCAATCACGCTCTCATTATATCTGAATATTACAAAACATTCAAATACAACAATCAATTCACTTGGTATTATCGCATATTGCTCTACCGCCTTCTTATCAGACCTATCATTATTACTTTGTTTGTTGTATTTCGTAATATTTTGTTTGAACCAACCTCCAGGCAAATTAAATAAACAATAATAAAGTCAAAAAGCAAATAAAGACTGCAAAAACTATGCCTTTTCGCTTTCATTGAATTTGCATAATTTGTGGTTGCCGCGAAAAAAACACAAACATAACAAATAAATAGAAAACTTTGGGTATGCCGACTTCTTTGACTTATGGGCGAGCCACTTACTTATGTATATATAATGTTAGATAAGTTGTCTATAATCAGCTAGATATGCATTGCATTATTGAACGCGGATCGATTGTCCATAAATAGACAAAAAGGCGACTTCGTTTTGATAAGCAAGATGATAATTCTAACTGTTGCGGTTAAGTCTAAACATTTGTATGGCGCAGCATTTATTCAAATGCAACCCGTACACATCTATTCCTTCTATAAGCCGACCTTTCCACGTCCATGTGCTAAACGTGAGCCTCAACGCTAATGAAGCACGCCGACAAATGCATTAGCAATGAAAATAGTGAAATATTCTTCGGGTTAATCATCTGATGTGAGCGAGACGAAACTACATTTACTGTATATTAGTATATGGTAGATGTATGCATATAAATATATATATATATATTTTATAAATATTGCGAACTAAAGATATTTGCCAGACCGTGGGCGTTTAAATTAAATATGTTATCTACAGCTGTTCGAAATGCACAGTTATAAAAGACCTATACGACTGTTTTAGAGCAGTTTCTTATATAACCGGGCTTAATGATCTGTCCAAACGCAATTATTGGAATTTATATCAACAATGTTAAAGAGCATTACAGCTTCGTTGCATAGACAATATATTTTCTTGTTACGGCTCCACATACTCGACATACTCCACATACATATGTGACTCCGCTGCTCTCATAATTGAATAGATTGACCGACTGATCTCTGCCAGCCAGATCTTCAGATCTCCATCGAATGCGATGATGAATTATCAACGCTTTTAATGCGGCATTCAGACGTGACCTGTGATCTATCGATAGAGGAGCATTTCTATAAATGGTAAGCCATGCGAGGCACAGCTAGAAAATGGAAAATGGAGATGCAGGCGAACGGAGAAAAAAATAGGCAATAAATTATACGTTCCCCCCCAAAACAAAACCAGATGCATTGGGGCATAAAGTTCTCCGGACAGCGCTATAAATACTTTTGTTTCGAAATCTTGCTGCAGAGTAATCGAAATGGATATGGATGAAGTTGTTTGGCCAACTATTCACTTCCATTCGAACTCGAACTTTTAAGTATGTTTTACTTATTTGTTTGTTTTATTTCTTCGTGTTGATGCTCTTCTCAATGCTTTATCTACAAAGTAAATTTGTAGGCCAAACCTGATCTCATTTTATAGCCAAATGTTGACGGTATTTTACTTTTTTAACTATTACACAAGCTAATGCACAGTACGTTGACTCTTTTGTTGTATTGTGTCTATGTTTCTGTTCTGGTTAGATGTTTACGCATGCTGCAGCTGTTTTGCCAGTTATGAGTAAACATACCCTGTAAGCTGCAAAAAGCTGTGAAAAGGGTATTTATGGTGCTGAGCATTTTGTAACAGGCAGCTTTCTATCTTTTAGGATATTTTCTCTAATTCTTTTTTATTTATTTTTTTTTTTTTATAACATGCAGCTAAGTCAAGTTATTATCCCATTTCAAGCAAAATAAAAAAAGAAAACAAGTTTCAAATTCCATTTTCTTCGAACGATTTATTTTTGTTTGCTAGAGTAGAAATATTATTAAATTACGGGTTTTGTTCTATTAATTTAATGGAATTATTGTGCAGGAAATGTTGTTTAAATATCATTCTTGATTATCGACAGTGTGCATTTAATTGCTTTTTAATGAGAATAAATAGCAAACAGTTGAGTAAAGCTGTCGTATAGCTGGGCATAGGTGAACTATTTGCTGGAAGTGTTTATACTATAGCGATATTGAGTCAATTATCGCCCTTCCCCGAAAAAGAAGTATCTAGTCAAAATATCGACAGAAAGGAAAAGCAGTCAGCATCCGTGACCTGGTACAATGAACCTTGCGTGCAAGATTATTGCCCTGTCTGAGCTTGGCCAAGAACTGAATTGCCCAAGTCTCAGCTACGTTGCACGTTGCACGCTGTCTGACAACTGCTCATAAATCTGCAGCTGGCCATGTGGAGGCAAATCAGCTATTCGAATCGCTTGGAGCGAGCAAAGCGTAGAATAATTTCAACTCCGACTTTGCTGTCAGCTCATAGCAAACTCTTTGTCTGGCGACTGCTTTGTCTCGACTGCGTTGTTGTTATCATCATCATGGGGCATTTACTATTTCAGTATTGTCGCCCAGTCTCTTCATATCTCTGGTTCATTGGATCTTCTCCATCTGTGCTGTGTGCTGTTGAGTTTCCTTTGTGCTGTCTGGCACTCCAAACACTTGGGAGCCAGCTTCCTTGCTACTTCCCTTTGAGTACATATATATATATATATATATATATATATATAAATATATATATCTACTTAATCAATTGTCGTGCTATCCTATGATTAGAAGCATCCTTCTGTCATAAACTAAATTTATTTTAAATCAATCAATTAAATAAATTCTAAAGGGTCAGTTTTTCGCTTACCCGAGTCCAGCTTCCAAAAAGTGCTCCTACTTAACTTCAAACTTCTATAGTTTTGCCAGAACAGATTGATTCTAGATTCCGGATTGATTCTGTTTCTAATCTATGCTTATTGACATATTATTTGACTTTTTTTTTTTAGCATCGATTCGACCCTACATTGCCCAACAATCCTTTTTGTATTTAGCACTGTTAACGGAAGGATTTAATTGTGTCGTTCAGCTCTAGAAATATTTAAAAAATTATATTTAAATGACGGTGTTTAGTAGAGACTCCATCATGCAGGAAACGCAAACTGCCAGCTGAGAGTACAACGAACGTACTTGCCTCCCTGCAATTTCCTTGGCGGTGCTTCAACGCCTCGAAGCATCTTCCATGCGATCATAAAAGACATGTTGGCGTATATGGCTAATCGATTATTAATGACTTTGGCGCAATTAAGTAACAAGTAAAGCAAAATCAAAAGCAGGCGACGGCCAGTGCAACGGGCTGTCCTGGAGGCGTTGCAAGTAAAAGTTGCAGCCACAGGTGAGGCGCATTACCGAAAAGAAAACATGCAAACATACACGCCTTAAAATGTGAAAATGCGAATGACCTGAATACACACACACACACATACTTACACACACACGCACACACCTGAAGCAGATAGCAGGGGGCGCATGCGCAATACGCAGCAAGGGGCAAGGGGCAGGGGAAAGCAAATGCCTTAAAAGGCAGCGACGCCGACGATTTCCTTTTCTGTGCAGCTTGTTGTTGTTGTTGTTGCAGCAAAACTAGTTTTGCGTACAGCTTTTTAACATTTTATTTTGTATTTTGTTTTCTGGTTTTGGGGACAACTAGCTGCACCTGCAGTTGGCCAGTTGTCCACAAACACACACTCACACCTGTTTATGGAAAGCAGTTAATTGATTTGCGGCACGTATTTATTTTGTTTATCATATTTTTATTTTTGTTCAATTTCTTGCATTTCAAATTAAAGCTGAATAAAAACTCGTTTACTTAGAATCCAAACACAATAATGGAGCGCATAAACCGTGCAATACCCCAGGTGGGCTGCAAAAAATGCCGCCTCATGTTTCATCAACGCCAGCTGAGACGTTTGCTTACGTTAGCGTAACGAATCGATAGGAAAAGTGTGCGTACTTGGCTTTAGTCATAGCCTAAAGCTTGTTTAAAATAAGCAGAAATCATATAATATTAATGCCTATAAAAAACTCATTCCGCTTTCATGCTGATGAGTAAGTCTCTTAATTTGTTGGAGTTCTGTTCAGAAGTGCAGTTAAGAAAGAGAAAAAAGATTGAACAAATTCTGGAAATAAAAACCTTCAATGAATACTTAATTCTGAGTATAACATGTTTGGGCTTCCCTCGCTCTATAAGGTGTGAATTATTGTATTTCTCTGATTCCTGTTCATGTGGCACTTGGCTTTCTATTAATTATCACCTGTACGATATTCAGTGCAGCCAAGGCGTAATGATTTTAGCATCTATTTTATTGCTAAAGCAGTGCACTTACGTTTAAAACACCTTACACCAACTGGTTTTTAGTTTCCTTTTCTTGTTCCTATTAACTGAATAGAGCCAGGTCCAAGAACCTGCTTCACCAAGGCTGACTCGATTGCTCGATTGCCGTCCAGTATTTCCAATAAAACGCATAGAAGAATTTGGCGCAATTGTCGGATACCAAGAATAACACACATTCACATTCACGTGCACATTAAACTGGAACTATGCATTCCATTCGATCTTGTCGAGCCATTAAAGCCAATTGTGCCCCTAAACAAGCCACCTGATTTGGGGCAACAGGTGTGTGTGTGTGTTCAAGTCTCCCGAGCCCTACACAACCAAACTCAATAGAAATCAACAACTTTGAGATGACGCCGCCTCGGCAATCGAACATAAAAGGCAAAGACTCACCACAATAAAAGGCAATTCGTGCTTCCAACTGTGGCTTGGCGTGGGTCTGGTTTGTTACCTTGATGTTCTTATATAGCATATCACTTTTTAATAACGCGCACAATTTTCTAGCTTAGACTGTTAAGAAACTCCTTGAAGTTGCGGCTATTAAAATGTGCTCTAAAGATCCTATTATAAGCAGCATTATTCTTAATACGATTGTTTGTTGACTCTCTATTTCGGCACTTAATCAGATGATTATTGCTCTTCGAGTGCCAATTAAGACGGAAGAGCCCCTAGTTTTGAGTTCTGTTTTTGTTTTAACTTGTTTGTAGTAAAATAACAATAGTTAGACAATAGTTAATCGGGAGTTCCCGACTAGGGGAAACCCTGCACTCTGTTCTACCATCACCAAATGCTGCTCGCGCTTAGCTATAGCTAAATAAAGATTTTTGATATAAGCATATATATATATATATACAACATTGGTGACTCTAGCCATCAAAACCTACGAGATTTACTCAGATAAAAGGCACTAGCTCTTATAGTTTCTGAAATCCTTGCGTTAATACATGCGGACAGCAGAACGCACGGAATGATGGACGGACAAACAGGCGGACGAGTCGATGTAGCCATACTCGGCTATTGATGCTGATCAAGGCCGGAGATGCCTCCTTCTGAATGTTACATACATTTGCACAAATTGATTATACCCTCTTTACCCATTTTTAATGGCTTCAGGGTCGTATATGGCCTTTACATATTTGAGAGTGATCGTATCAAAGTGATAGTTATTATTACTGTTACAGAGTTGATCTACGTTAGTTGGACGACTATCTGATGTCTCATATTTAATGTTTAATAAAAAACTCACAGCAGTTTTTAGGATTTAAACAGCTTGCTAAAAACATTCTTGACGCGCTGTGACATTAGTTCAACAAGTTTAAAAGCTGCTTAAACTGATCCTCCAGATTGGCGGGGCTTTCCGTTGTCACTGGCTCCGGTGTGGCTGTGGTTGGCGCCTCTGTTGTAGTCGTGGTCGTTGTGGTTGTGGTGGTCGTTGAGGTCGAGCTGGTGCTGCTGGGCAATGGCTTTGGCTTGATGCGTCCATCGAGGCAGGCCTGAAGGTAGTTGTAGTTGCTGGCTGTTGACTCCACGTAAGTGCGCTCCGCCTTGTGGTTGCATTGTTCATGATGCAAATCGATCAGGCGATAGCGTTCCTGCAACAGCGTAGCCGACTCCGAGGCATTTCCCGAGATGCCGTACGTGGAGATGGTGTTGTTGGAACCCTAAATGAAGATTGCAATTTAGCACCAGGAAGGGGAAGTGGAATGGGACACTACTCACCGCTGCGGCATGACAATTGAAGGAGTCAAGTGTGCCGTTAATCTTACTGCAGACTCTTAGCGTTCCACAAACTGATTCCGCCGACTGCTCAATTCTCCTGCGCGTAGCTAGGAAGTCCTTGTCAATGCCGCGCCGCGAACTGTGCGCCTGCTGTAGGCATTCGCTGTAGGCTCCACTGTACTGCTCTGCAATAAGATTCGATTCGCCAATGTAGCCAGCAAAGCAGGATACCGAGGTCTTGGGATCGCGACGTGTCACCCGAGAGTTAAAGAACAGACGGGTTAGACCATCCTGGGTCGGCAGTCCCACATAGGGCGGTAGTGGCCTGATCACGCCCTCTGCAGAGGCGGCCAGAATCAGGGCCAGGAATAGCATCAAGTGTGTAGATCCAAGCGACATATCTCCAGACTGGTGGTTGGTAGAGCAAGTGAGATGCTTTTGGCGCAGTGCGTCTGTTTTGGTCAGCTTTTATACGCCAAGACCCAAGACGTCTGCTGCCAGGCAGCTGATAAGATTTCCAGCTTATCATCTTGCGAATTTTGAAATGATGCTAGACAAATATACCCCGTCCGTTGGCTTGTTTATTTACTAATATGTTCGCAGAGCGTCATTCCACAGAGGCATATAAATGGTGTGGAAACTAAATCCGATTTAATCTACTCTCAGACTTCCAAGAAAATAAGAATTGCACTTTTATTTTCGTTTATTGCATTTATAATTTACCGCAGAAAGTGCCTAGAAGTGGCGCCTTTTAGATTGCATAGATGCATCACTTATTTGCACTCATCTTGAAAAGATAAACTATTATTTATGACTTCTGCGCTCATTTGTTACACAAACACATAACTGGCTCCCGCTCTCCCATTCTCTCTCTGCCCCTCCAGTGATGCCTAATTTTATAATCTGGCCAATGTTAGTATTGTGACTCAAACCACTTAATATAGATAATGGAATGCATGTGGTTTACGCATTGCGATGGGTTATATTGCAGTTTATACTGTACTTATAATAGATACCCTTAATAATTGACCTTATATGTAGGTCAACAATCATTAAATACTGTATAAGAAAAACACGAAACTTCCCCGATCCCATATAAATCTTTAAGATACACCTAGCTAAGGAATCAATCGAATGCAGTTTATATTATATTAATAATAGGTACCCTGAATAGTTGCCCCTGCAGAAGGCTTATACGTAGGCTAACAATCTCTGTAAAAAGAACCCGAAACCCGATCCCATATAAATCTTTAAGGTACATATAGCTATGGAATCGTACTTCCCATTCCTATTCCAATCTCGGCTTTAAGGCTACATTCATGCCCGTTGGTGAGCGCAATATGAAGTTCATCATTGGGCTTACCTCCGGTCCTTCGGGTAGCAGCTCGTAATGTCGAATCACCTTGCTGATCAACGTTTTCATTTCGAGCATGGCAAACTTTTGGCCAATACAGTTCTTGGGCCCTGCACTGAATGGCAAATAGGCAAATGTCTGTCGCTTGCCCTCCGCTTCCCACGTATCATTTAGAAAGCGCTCTGGCTTAAAGCTCAACGGATCGGGAAAGTATTTGGGATCGCGATGCGCAAAGTATAGCACCAAATATATGCTGGTGTTTGCCGGTATGGTCTGTTCGCCAATCTGGAGATCCTTTCTGGTATGTCTGCCAATCGCTGGCACTGGCGGGTAGAGTCGCATTGTCTCCTTGATGACACATTCCAAATATTTGAGCTCCTGCAGCTGAGCCTGGCTGATTGGCTCCATTCGATTTTTGCCAAGCACCTGGAGCAGCTCGTCGTATAGCTTCGCCTGCACCTCGGGGTATCTGGCGAGGCAATAGAGCGCATGCGAGACCCCGCTGCTGGTGGTGTCGTCGCCCTCGAACATGAAGGTGTCCACCTCCTCGCGAATGTCTGTATCGGTGAGCGGGCTGCCTTGGATGGAAGACTGAAGCAGAATATCAAGCAGTGCCATCTGCGGCCTTCTGCCTATGTCCTCATCGCCCAGACCTGCGATAAAATAGATGGTTATTCAACTGATAGAAAATGATCTCTATCGACTTACACAACGGTCGGTAGCTGCCGTCGGCCTTGGCGCGCTCAACCGCCTCCCTTCGCTCTCGGATGACCTTGTCGGTGAAGTCATGCATGATGCGAATATCTCGCACTAGCTTCATGTGCAACAATGGAGCCATGAGTTTAAAGAGCCACTCGTAACGCTGTGAGAACTTAAACATGCGATCCGGCTGGATGTTGACGACGCTGAAATCGAGCGAAATTATTACCTTGTAATTGTTTACATGTAAACATGCTCTACATTTATATTATTGGCCTTTAGACTCTCCACAAAATTAATTGGATTTGTCATTGTCATTCTAGCGAATAGTTGAAAATGTCTAAGGGCCGCATAGATTACCTTTTTAGCGCTTTTATATATGGAAATTCTGGATCACTTTGTGCATTCACCTGCACGCCCATGGCCGTCTCTAGGCAAACGATATATATTATTTCCTCGGCCTAGTCATATAGTCTTATACACAAACCCGTAATGACATCCAGGGCTGCCAGCGACACGTACTTCAGCATATCCACAACATGCTTCCCATCGGCCAATGGCTGTAGTTTCTCCACCAAGACGGCGCTCTGGCAGTCCATAATGCCCACGTAGTGCTCCAATATCTTAAAGTGAAAAACATTGGAAAAGACTTTGCGCCTGGAGTGCCACTTTCTGCCCACGCTCAACAACAGCCCGTCGTTGAGAAAGGGGCGCAGGAACTGGTAAAGCTGACCCTTCTCTAGCAGCGTGGTGCTGCTTAATATGGCCTCAAAGTGGCCTAGATCCTTGGTGTAGATCAGCGACTCGTTGAGTATCCAGAAGCGAAAGGTCGCGCCGTATTTATCAAAGCAAGCGCCAACATAGTCGATGATATCTGCACGACCAAGAGAAAGTGAAGCTGCCCCGAGGGTTTCTACTCCAAGACTTACTCTCTGCACCCAGCTGCAGTGCTTGTATCCCGCAGCCCAGCAGCGGCAGCGAGAGGGGACCCGTAATGCCCGATCTCTCCAAAGTGGCGCAGCTGTGCCGCTTGCGTACAAAGTCCCAGGCCAGCAGCACGGTTAAAGCGCCAACCAGCAAGGTCAGCCACATGTTGATGATCCGCGAGCGAGGAACTGCCCGAGATTACGAATTACTATTTACCAAGAGGTTCGCTTTTAAGTTGTTGTCGGCGCAGCGTTCGCGGCACGACTGTGCTATCTAGGGGCTAACCGGGTTAGCACTAACCCTGGCCAGGTTCAGCCAAGCGGAGTGTGCTACGATTTTAGTCGCATATTCGCTTACCTGGAACATGTTTTGAACCGTCGTTCTCCACATTGCGCAGTCAGTTTCGAGCGTTTTAATTGACATCAGATAAGTCCGACGATTACCTGAGTTTTTCAATGTAGAAGTTACGTGATAGTAGGGTTTAGTATACATTCAGAAAGCGAAATAACACTTTTTCATCTGTATGATAGCCAGAACTAATCTAAGAGCTTTTTTACCTAAGTTATGAATTTTATTTTCTCAATATTTGAACTTAATTTTCTTGCCTTTTTCTCAGAGTGTATGCTATTTATAGTATACTCTCGAGCATTTAGAATGTGATTAAAATGCCGATCACTTCTAGCTGTTCACATTGCTCACAGCGATTACAAATAGACGCGACGGGGTAAATAAATGAAACTAGAATGTAAATAAATTTAAAAATATAAAACACGTCGAATATTTGAGCTTGAACTAGTTAGTACATTAGAAAAAGCGTTTTTTTTAATATAAAAAAGCTTTTTCTATTTTAGCCAGGGTCAAGTAAATACGCGTTGACATTTATATGGGGTAGTACAAAATTCAGAGTACACTTGCCCACAAAATATGAGATAAAGGTTTTGTCAACCCGGCAGCGGAAAACATCGAAAAACAGCTGTGGCTGGACCTACAGTTGAATGGACTGTAGCTGCGACTGCGACGACAAACGTTGTTTTAGTTTTTGAAGTTGTTGTCGTTGTTGTTGTTGTTGTTGCCGTGTTGAACTTGGCGCAGAGTTCATTTGAGCTGGAAATTGGAGTGTGGAGTGTGAAGAGTGAGTTAGGGGCAGACACTAGAGTACTTGTTTAGTTAGTTGGCGACCAATGAAGTCACTGCAAAGACAAGAGCCGAGCGCACCGGATATGTTGGCTGCGTAGGCCGTGTCAGCGAATCAAACAAGTTATCAAAGTGTCTACAAGTCGTTCAGTTTCAGACAGCCAAACGGTAAACGGGAACGTCATTAAAGAAACCCCGTCAACGAATTAAATTCGTTGACTCACGATTTTCCCATGAAAGCAACGCACAAGATTTTGACTTCTTACATATGTCTGAAAACCTGTGTATAAGGGCAGAAGCAGGCGGCGGTTTACTATCATTAGCTGGGAGCTACACTCATCTGAAGAGGCACTGGAATAGCACGACAGGCACGTCTGCAGAAACAACCGAACCCAACCCAAACAGACCAAATCGATGAACCACAAATATGCACTTCATTAAAGAGCTGCACTGGAAAGGAATCTATTCCTTCATGCTGAGTTTGGGCGTTGCCTGTTTAAAATTTACCACGTTTGCCAAAAGTGCATTTTCCTGCCGTCTATTTGATGAAAGCGCGCCATCTGCGTTACCCCTATTACCAAGACTTCCTTTCCCTTCCCCAATTCCGGCCCCGCTTCTTCTATAAATCGAATGTTGTCGACAACAAACAAAGAATGGAGTTTGTTTTGACGGCTTGTGTTTGGGTTTGGTTCTTGTTACCCCGGCAACTGGCAAACGGTAGAAAAACATGTCTGGGCTTGTTCTGAGTGGGGTTGGGAGGCACAAGGTTGAGTTGCCCACTTCTGTGGGGGTTGCTGCTTTTGAATGCAGCACGTGCTGGCAGCTCTGCGCCTGTCCGCAACAATGCAGCCAATCAGCTGTTCAAAAGTTGCCAAGCCAGTGACAAAATGTTGCTGTGACTCATATGCATATATTTAAATGTAAATATATTTCCAACATGTTGTTAATGCAGAAAATAATCAGGCGGGTATTCCCAAAGAGAATGACGAAAATGTGAATAGATGAAAGGGTAATTCTATCATTTCGGAATAAAGTCCAAAATTTTTGACTCCAATGTAGTGAGATTCATCAGGTAACATAGACCTTGAACTGAGCATAATTATCTCGAACTCGCAAATAATTAAATTTAATAAAAATTTTTACCAAAATTGTTATAAACTCAAAACGTTAACAAAACAAATAGCTAAAAGCTAAGTTTTTTCAGACCGCTCAGAGAAGGCCAGTCTAATGAAACGTTATATGCGCAAATTTTCGAACAAAAGCGAACGCTAAACTGAGTGTAAGGGTGAGAGGGGCGTCATCAAAGATCGCGTTGACGTTGCAATTTTACATAATTACGAGCATACCATTTTCTTGCCCGAGGTGGGAGGGTTGTACGCTGGCACAATGCCGCGTGGCAATGCTTTGGGATGAGATCTTTTGCAATCTTTTTTTTTTGGGTTCAAGTTGCATAATTTTTTTTTACTTGATTATTTTGCTCGTTACGATCGTTGATTTTATCATTATTATCGCTGATATTCGGCTCCTGGCAGTTAACCTGAATTGCAATGTGATCGGTCCGCTTGCGGTTTTGTCGCTGCTGTATCCAATATTAACATATTATAATTAAAGAAGAACGAGCTTAGCTGAGACGCTGCACTTTAGTTTCACCTTGTGGCAAACCGCCAGCACATTTTCAAGTTCGCATTAAGGCATTTGACAAGTGCTCTTTAAAGTTCGATATCGGTCTGCAAATAATGTCTTGAATTCCTGCCCTTGTGCGAGGTTTGCCTCCATTACATTGGCTGGGATGTCGTGCCCAATGCTCATAGAGCTTGAAAGCCACTCGACGATGAGTTTATCGCATCTAATTATTTATGCCGCGCTAAACAGTTCATAAAACAATTCACTTTGTTATATCATTCCGAGTCAGCGGTGCAAGTTGATCGCGTGTTGTACAAAAATTTTAATTACCAACGAACGAGAAATGCGCCTTTTTCAATTACAAAATACCAGAGCCCGAGCCAAAGTCAGAGACTCGCTGGTTTCACGAGCAGATCGCTGGGTAACTGCGAACAAATGATGCAATTTATAGCATTTAGCTGTTGCTGTCAGTTTTCACAGTTTTTCCACAGCTCATCGGAAAGGGAATTTAAACGAGTTTGGGGGCTTGCTCTCTGGCTGGGTAATATGACGGGCTAAGCGGGCCACACCTTGGCTCACCACTCAAACTAATTGAACATCAAATTGTTTTAATAGCAATTTGTGCATTAAGTGTATCAACAAAGGCAGGTCTCTTAGCTAAAACAGGAACCCGTAAAGACCTTCGTGTGCTGCGAACTCTGACCTATGACTCCACTGATTGGTTGCCTATCTATTTATCCATGAATAAGGCCCTTCGCTTGTGCCCTGTCTGCATGCAATTTAAGCATTATCTACGCTTTCACTTTGATTTACACTCTAAAAAAAGACCTTTTATATATGATTTCAATACGTTTATTTTCTAATTTATATTATCTCTAATTGGTGATCAACGCACAGCCCAAACTGTAAGAGCTAGGAAGCTGAAATATGCATTGTAGTTACCTTATGTGATGAACGTGCACGTTTACACGGGGTTTCGGGAAATTCCACCCGCAAGTATGGAAAAATCGCGAAAAACGTTGGTATGAAACTTTTATGTTAACCATCGGATCGGCCTTAAACTCCTTTTCAAAGATATTTGCTCAATTTCATTTGACGGGTGTTTCACACTTTTCCAAAAATATATTCCTCCTTGGTGGAAATGGGTGTCAAAGATTTGCTGGGTGACGTTTCGCGCTTAAATTCATTTTCAAGGATCCATAAGAAAAATCATTTGAGACGTGTTTCACATTTTTCGATGAATCAAAGCATCCTCGTAAAAATGCGATTTAAAGATTTTTTGGGAGCAGTTTAAAGTGGTGTCCCATTTGCTTTAAACTACATAAGAACTTAATGAATACGTGTTTCAACGATTTGGGAAATGCCACCTGCCTCAGTGGTAAATTGGAAGAAAACGTTTGTATGAAAGCTGGTTATTTACCGTCCGATCAGTTTGAAAATCATTTTCAAAGCTTTTTGAGAGCAGGCCGAGCTAGTAACCATATAAATATATATATATATGTATATTTGCTTTTGCATTTAATTCCTTTTTGTAATCTATATTATAACATATATTATTATAGTATCCAATTTATATTATATGTTAACTAGATATATATTATAACTAGATAGGACTTTGAGCCAGCCAACAAAATAATTAAAGTATTGAATAGTCGCCAGGCCCATCACTAAATAACTTAATATACATGTATATTATATTATAACTAGATATATGTATATTTTATTTTGCATTTAATCGACACTTGCTATTTTTTTTGCAAGGAATCTCCAAATTCGATTTACACGTCGTTTTAGTTGGCCAACCAAAATTGGGATTTATAATGCATTTTTCATGTAATTTTGGATGTTCGACTGCGATCCATTCAAATGTATTTAAAAATTATGGCCCGAAACGCTATGTTAACGCTCTTACAGTTGCGGTTTTTATTGAGGCGTACAACCGCAACTGCTTGCCTGGAGGAGGGTGTGTGTGTGTGTGTGCTTAGCAAGGGGGGCTATGTGTGACAATATGACATGTTGTTGACTTCAGGTAGCTGGCCTGTATTTGCACCTGGCAAACTTACAGAGCTGAGTGTAAACACCTTTTGACCTGCTTCGCCCAGTTTGAGTGCCTGTCAATTTTCCAAATTAATATGCAATTTAACTGTCCACGTTTTGTTTTTCTATGTTTACCTGTGGCAAAATCAGCATCAGCCACCAGCTAGGTGTTGAGTTTCGATCGTTTACAGCTGCCATACGTTGCATGCAACGCTCATTCGTCCGAAGGCATTTGCCACGTTAAGTTCACACTCTCTCTCGTGTATCTGCGGATCGCACAGTTCGCACCTGGTGTAGTTAAGTGTTTATCAGTGACCCTCACACACACTCAGGTGCTAACAAAGTTCAAAGAACAAGTCACTGGCTGAAATTGTGCTCAAAACTCGACATTATAATCTACGCAAAACTCGGCTATTTGTTTGTCAGGTGACTAATGCTTGAAATATTCTGTATAGTAGATGACCATTCGAAACAACTAGCCAAAATTGAAGTGAATCAATTTCAGTTTAATAATTCTATGCTCGAAGTGTACTCTGAACGAGTCGACCTCGTTGTACAATGGGCTAAATCCTGAAAATCATTCTGTTGCAGTCTTTTTATGATAATTAATTTTCAAATATTCCATTTATATTATATTAGTATATATACCTTGAATTTAACAACTTACCCAAAACCTGCTATTTATAAATTATTCACCATACTCTAAAAGGAAACGTTATCGATAATATCTAGCGGCAATTGCGTCCTGTCTGTAAGAATATTATGGACAATTTTCAAAATAAAACATATCAGCTCTGGGTTTCTGGGTGCATTGCAGTGCTCATTAGTGGTACGGAAAACGCTGCGTCACGATTTTGCTATTAATTGAATGAAAAGAATGATGCCGGGTGGGGAAAGGAAATGCCCATTGACAGAAGACATAGCTGGAAATCTCAGTTGGTTGTATTTGTGGATGAAAGTGTTTGCTAGTAGTTGTAAGAGCTGCACACATAATGCACATTTTAACAGTTTATCTTTGCGGTTGCCTTTGCAGCAATCTCATTGCAAAAAGCAAAAGTTACTCGGGCATAGCAGCAGCACCTAGTGGCACAGGCCCCCACTTACCTCCAGCTGGCGCCCGTGGCTTTGTCAAGTTGCGTCATGTAGATTCCGATAAGCCGAGCACATCAACCGAGGAATCAACCCAATCGCAACCAGATAACCAAGAAGACACACTACTCAACAAAGACTCCACAGAAGACCAAGCTACAGATGTGAGTATATACCCGACACACTGCACATTTATATGCTCATTCCAATCATTCGTTATCGCCAGAATATGGGTCCCGATCAGCGCAATATTGCCAAGACTGGCTCCATTGCCGAGCGTTTGGCAGCGCTGCAGAAGAGCGGCGAGGATGACTGGAAAAAACGCGTAAACAAGCGGGATGAGGTCGATGATATTCGACGTGAAAACTTTGTCAATGTAAGTGTATACTTTACTTATATTAATTTACAAGCCCACTTACTAGATTTAGTTCCCCACGCAACTTTTGGCAGCTTTTTCCGCTAATCATCTCGAATGCGATTTCAATTCCATTCAAAGTTGCGTGAAAAGTGCAATTGACGTTGCTGCATCAATGTTAACGTTGCATCAAGTTGCTAAACGAGCATTAAATACAAGCTAGTCGAAAAGTGCGAGCAGAACAAAAAACCTCACCCCGCATATAGGTAAAATATACCAAAATCCATAAAAAGAAAGCTAAGCTATAATAGCATAACTGAAAGTTAAATCTAAACTTATCACACGTCGAATAGTTTCGAAAGGAAATGGTCTTTATATAGATGTTTAAATGTACATCTACTCTATACAAGCAACTGACTAGCTAACGCTAGATGGCGCTGTCAAAAGTATGCCTAGAAGTATGCATCTATTTTGTGTTGTCTATTATCTCTTTCTCTTTTATTATCCCTCTATTTATTTTGTCGGCTTCGTATCGCGCTTTGCTTCAACTGTCTTTTAAAAGTGTTTATTTGATTTATATATAAAGATATATAACTTTATATATATATATATATATATATATCTCGACAAATTAAAATTAAATTAATTATATTATCTTACTGATAACAAAAAAAAAAATATATAGACTGCAATAATTACGTTCCATAGACTGTTATTAAAGTGTAATTTTTGTGCTCAAGCTCCGTTTGTGTACTGAATTCAGTTAACACAATTTTGGTGGTCATTTTGTCATAAATAACTTTCGATTTGCGGCTGCAAGTAGCCCATGCCTAAAATATCAATCAGCTGCCATTCTTTTATGGACAAGTGACATTTCGTCCAAACACTTGCAAAATTAAATTGAACTTTAAAGCAAACCCGACAAGGTTGACTGAACTTTTTCTCTTGCCTCTTTTCTCTGTTTGCCTTATTAAGAGCGCTTACGCTGGGGCCTGTAATTATGCGGGTACGATGGGTATTTATAACGTATGCTCATATTCCCTCTCTGCCTTCTAGCCTGCTGTACTTTAATGAACAAGCAATCACACTTAATTACAATAGCCACGCCTTTTTGGGCATCATCATAATCATCGCCAGCAGCAACCTCCGTTGACTCTTTATATGGTAGCGGTTTTGGGAGAAATTTCAAATAGATCCAACTATCTTACGCAGCATAGTGGGCGCGAGGTAAATGCGTTTTGAATCACACTTTTTATACCCTGAACCCATCTTCGTCTGCCCTGCTATCAATTGGCATTCAAAAATATACAAAATCGATGGGTTAAAAAAAGTTGTCGACCAAAAAACGACTCGTTTGTAAGGGCAACATTGTTTTTTTTTTTATTTTTTGGCTTATGCCTGCAAAACAATGCCCGATTTTTGAATTGTATACCATTTTAGACTCGTGAGGATCAGTACTATCAATTGTCATCAAAACTTGAAAACCTAAACATCACGTTTTTTCTCAAAATCGGGATCTGTTCGAAAATCAAAAACTTTTTTGATGATTTTTATGTAATATCCCGGGTAAATATTGTCCGATTTTAAAATGATATACCTTTCTTAGTTCGTATAATTTTACTGTGGTCTGCCAAATTGCATGCGCATTTTGTCAGCGATTCCAATACTAAAACTATTGGGGTTCCAGTGACAGTGGGTTCTATGCAAGCTAAAACTAAATAACCTGGCGCAATTGATCAGGACATGGTCAGCAAACAACGCGTGTATCATCCTAGAAAGCAAGAGCTTGTGCATATGGAGGTCTGCTCTGCAGCAGCTGTCTGCCAACTTACATCTGCCCATAATTTTCTTCTCTTCTAAACTACCTTGTGGGCAGCAGCGACTAAGGCAGAGGCAGAGGCTGCAACCGCCACAACAACAATTATCAAATGAAAAAGGATGGAACACAAGTCGCATAGGTTGGGTTGGGTTGGGATGGGTTGGACTGGGCTGTAGCTTGCAGTCCGATTTCTTTCGCTTTTGTTGTAGCTGCTTCTTTATCGCCTTTTAGTTGTTGTTGTTGTTGTTGGTGGTGCTGCTGTTGCTGCTGGGTCCAACTGTGGATGCATTTGATCTGTGCCTTGATCTTGAACGTGCTCATCTACCGCGCAGTTACACCCTCCTCCAAGCATAGCTCCAACAAACTTGAGTTGGCCTCGCCTCGCCTCGCCTCGGCTCGCCTTTGCCTTTGCCTTTGCCGTTGCCTTCCTCTGGCCATTGTAAATTGTTTTGTGAATTTGATATACTTGCAGCTTTATTTTTCCTACACATATCCCCCATGCCCTGATGCCAGTCTTCAGTGTAGTTTATTATGCTCCACGTATTGTTCGCTTGCTGTTGCGATTATGTTGTTGTTTTTTTCAGCTCTGCTGTACTTGTTCATTAGTCCATGCCTCCCCGAGACGGAGAATCGCAATAACAGTAGCCAGTAGTTGTTGCCTATAAAAAAAGTTCTAACTAGAAGACTCTCTGGCAAACTGTTCGTACCCGACTTCATATCTCCTGCGCTCCGCTTGTCGCGTTTTTATCTGTATCTTTACAAGCTGCAAATATGCCAACGGCTGCTGCGGCGGCTGCTTATTGCTGATTATTTTTATTGCCTTTATGTGATTCATTATTTTCTTTTCAACATTTCTGGCCTGTCCGTTTTGAGACAAAGATAACGTGATTCTTTATTCGTATTTTTCATTTTGGTCTTTCTTGTCTTTATTTATTGAACTTTTGGCCATATGCATCATCTTTGATAAGTTGTATTACATTTATATGCAGGCAGTCTGAAAAAAAGATGCCAAAATTTAGTTTAGTTTCATTCATTAATGATCATTAAACTCATCACATACCCAAAATTGTAATGCATCAGCCCTTCCCACTAAATCTGCTGTTTGGAAGCTGTTCTCTCACTCTCACTCTCTCCAAAGCCTGCCACTCTCAATGAAACTCTCTCTCTTGTTGCGCTCACTTTACATTAAATCGTCTCTTTTCGATCTCACTTGACGTTGTCGTTGACGCTACTCATGCTCTCTCCAGAGCCGGCTTTGATAGTCTCCAATTGGCATTTATGGTTTGCTAATCAACCCGTTGCCGCAATACGAGCCGCGACTACACGGCGAGCGCTTCGCATCTCGCTTTATTTGCTGATTTTTGCTTTACTGATTAAACTTAGTTTTGTTATTGTTATTGTTATTGGTATGCACTTGTTTGCCGCCCGTTTTCATTGACATTCAATTTGATAAGCAGCAAATCAAAATTGACGTGTGTGTAAATAGTTCGCTATTTCTCTCTCTACCTCTCTCTTTCTCACACGCCACATTCGCTCCGATTGCATAAAAAGTAATGCGAAGTAGTTAGTTTCCTGACTGCGAATACGTTGCATAAACTGTCAAATGCGGCGCAGCAGGAAGCGAGTTACATAAAACCAAATAAATATATTTATGCTTTCTGGCATTTGCATTTTCTTCAGTGCTGAATATGACACATTGTACGCCGAATTTTAAAATACATATTTAAGAAAATGTGTTTCATGGCGAATCGTTGCGCTCACATACACTCACCTTTGAGAACTTTCTTATGTAGCCTATTCACGCCTGGCCGCAGTCTGTGACTATTACAAATCGTAACCCACGTAATGTTTTAAAAATAAATACAAGATTTCTCATCGCAAATGCTCTGTACAAAGCACTGACATAAAAACGCAAAAAGATTAGAAAAATGTTCAATGCTGTATCATAAGTGCTTTCTAGTAAATGCCCTATCTGGATTTCAAACTACGAACATATAAAGGAACTGATCTTAAACTGCCGCGCAGGGGAACGTATCCACAAATAAATATATATATTTTAATAATCCAATTGGACATACAAGATGCAACCACGAAGTGCCCTATAAAATGACAGTTAAAAAGGCGTTCCAATTTGATTGCAACTAGTTGTTTGAAAACAACAACAATTATAATTATAATTTAACCTAAGTGCGCAAGTGCAGCCGACGCCTCAGTCACTGAAACTCTTCGAACGCGTTTATCAACGCGTTAAGCACAAAAGCGAGAGAGCGGGAGAGTGTGAGAGCGGGAGCGCCAACCGAATAGAGATGTAGCAAATTCCGCTGAGAGCCGCACAATTTATTGAAAATTGCGCTCGTCGTCGTTCAGTTAAGTTTAAGACGAGGAGCCGAAGAGAACGACCGCTGGGTGCGTCGGAATGCAAAACGCGCCTGAAAACAAAATCAAAATAAATACGAAATCAACAAAATATATTTAAAAATTGCAAAAAATAAATGAAACACAGCCTTGTGGGGATATTAAATGACAGACAAAGATAAAAATAAGTAGACAACCGTTGGAATATGTTTTTTTATATGTGCATAAATATTGAAACAAGCTGTGCGGCTGATTGCAAATCAGAACTGAAAGCACTTAACGAAAGGTGTGTGCTGCGAGTGTGTGTGCGAAAGAGAAAGGACATATCTGTGCCACAAAAATATTGCAAAAAGTAGTAAATATCATTGAAATAATTTGCAATATTTTTCTGTTGCGTAAATAACAAAATATAAAAAAATCGTATATAATTTCTTTCCCGCAATCCTTCGTACAGTGCTGTCATGGTAAATCTTATCGAAGACTGAAAAACGATATCAGTAAAGCGTAAAAAACCAACCAACACTTTTTACGAACGGAAACACACACTGCAAAATCGAAAGCCAATTGCAGCTATAACAACAACAATGACGGACTACCAGCTGTATCTGGAGACAGCAGGGCAATGGCTGAGTCACCTGCCCTACCTGCTTGTGGCCTATGTGCTGCTCACTCTGCTGCCCAAGTCGATGATGCGGATAAAGCGCTACGCGGACGCAGATTTCGAGGCAAATCGTCACAAATTCCACCGCTGCTACGGCCCCGAGCTGTGCTGCCACGTCCATGCCCAGGATCCGCCAGTCAAGCAAAAGCAGCGCAAACCCGTAACGCGCGTCTATCCGAAACGACATCAGACGCAGACGACGGAGCAGCCAGCGGCAGCGCCCACTGTGAAGCGCAACAATGTGACCAAGATTGCGCGCATGTTCGAGTCGGGCAATGCGACGCGGCAGGTGAGCCGCGTCACGCCGGAGATTCGGATGTTTGGCGCGAGCGAGGAGTCCGGCGAGTCGACGCCGTGCGCCTCGCGCAAGGGCAGCATAGCCACGCAGCTGACGGCGCAGCTGCAGCACATCGAGCAGGCCATGCAACTGTGGCAGGAGCTGGAGGAGGAGCAGCAACAAGCTGAACAGAAACCACCAAAGGTCTGCGATTGGGAACCTATGGCGGTGCCTCTGCCCGCTCTGAGACGTACGTGCGGCACCTCAGCCACGCCTTCGACTGCATCACCGCTGTCCAGCTCGCCGGAGCCCACGTCGCCGGTGCTGCTGCGCCAGCCGCCAGCACTTTGGCTCAAGTCCAGCATGGAGGACATCTTCCAGGCCATAGCACGCAGCGCTGAGGAGCCTGTGGACTACAACAGTCTTGCGCCCATTACCTGCATCGACGATATAATCTCCGAGCGCAGGTTCTCACGGCCTCTATCCGCCTACTCCATTACAGATCTGCTCAACGAGGAGCACGAGGGTCCATTTGTGAACGAGACGACCCTCCTTCAGCTGGGCAACAGTTGAGCAGCAGCTACGAGATTGTCAATCTCTCCGAGATCCGAGTGAATGCATGAACTGACATCCAATAAGCTGTTCACTTGGTCGGTCAATCGTGCCATGTACGAACTCAGAAGTCTTCCAGCCCGAACTCTTCCTCCCCCATTACCTCTCCTCAATCGACACTTGCCTTTGTGACTCACAGATTCGAGTCCGACTCAAGTCAGCTTCTTAGATGTAATCATTATGCGATATACCACGCCTCTTTCCTGACTGACTTTTCCAGTTGCATTTTGTTTGTTTAATTGATGAAAACTTAAACAGATAAAAAGCACTTTGCACAACAGTTGTTGGTTTCGTTATCAATAAAATGATTATTAATGAATATCGCTTAAAATTACAAATGAGCTAACTTAGTTATCCTTTTGGACTTTAAGCTGGTTCCCCTTTCTCAGTTCTCAGTTGTAATATTAAAAGTAATTTAATTACACAAGTGAAACCTAAAACAGCAAAGTACTAATATATTTCAAGTACTTACAATATAATTTTATTAAATGATGTGGTATTACTTTCATAGACTATAAACAACAAAATACGCGTATTATAAACTTATTAATAAATTGTCTACAACAAAAACAATAATTTCTTTAATTTGTATTTGACAGATGGCAGATAAGTGCAACAGAATATATATAACATTTAATTTTAGCTTTCCATTTGCCTTTTACGTTTCTGTGTGCACCTGTTTTATCAATTTGTTTTAACAATTTTTTCTAATATAAAGTACATAATGCTTTAAGAATGTTTTTACCCCTACCGAGAATAACAGATGGAACTAATGTTTCCTTAAGTTTATTCTGGCAAAACATCTGGCTTATAAAATTATTTATTTGACTTCATATAGCACTTACATAAGGGTATTTAATCTTCGGCAACACAAATGAATGTGCTCTTTCTTTACTATATATATATATATATATATATGAATGTTTGCCAACAAACACAACAACAAATTGACACAAGGTTTTAAATTTCCATCGATGCCCGAGCTTAAAAGCTATGATAACTTAAATAAATACATTTAATAGCAAGTGTTTCCTACCCTACGAGACATGCGTATTTTTATTAGGTAGAAGAAGCGAGCTCTGCGATAGGATGCAGTATAATCGCTTTAAGTGAGACTTCTCCATTGTCACACATAGCTTTGTGAGAGATACAATGCACTTGGACTAGCTGCAAGTACAACAAACTTTTCAAAAGGGCATAACGATCAACTAAATTAATGCACAAAGTGCAAATGCTCGTCAAAAATAGATGGATGGATGGTCGGGTATATTCATTAATCATAACAACAACAAAAACCAATTGTAATTGAAAATGTTTAATTGCGCTTTTATTGTTGTCCAATTGCTGTCCATGATTTCATTTAATGTGTTGGCCTGGGGATAGCCATGGCCCACGCCAAGCGACACTTGAGCTGATTCCAATAGGTTGCCAAAATGTTTGGCCAAATTTGGGAAATAGCCAAAAATGCACATGTTAATAACGTTATTTGTCGTTTTTATTCGAAGTATCCAAAGTGGCCAGGTGGGTGCCACATTTCAATGTCAACTAGACCCTCAGTTTGGAAGATGTCTTGGCAAAAATGACAAATATGTAAAATTTTAAAATTAATTAAGCAAAATTTCCACTTTAGACTTTCGAGTTGACAAGGGTCTTTAACGTGCGGCTTCTCAAAAAGAAATGCTCGCCTTTGTTTTTATTTATTTACTGCATAGGTAGATTTAACCCATTTATTTTAATATGGCTTATCAAATCGAATGCCCATGATTCATCGTAGACTGTATTATGGGCATAAATATGTAGGGGAAGAGTGTGTGGCACGGGCCGCGCACTTTGCTGATGACGCATGCTACCGATTTCAGGAGAATTCCAAAGTTTTGTTATCGACACGGCTGTGAATACGAAAGAGAATTCGCTGATATCTGACAGTAACAAAGCGGTTGTTAATTCAATCACATGTAATTAGCAGTTTCTCAACGGTGCTGCCAATAAAGCGACACTATCTTTACCGACTGATTGGTACCAAGGTCTGGAATATAAACTCTAGAGATATATTCATTATAGTACAAATGTACTTAAATGATGTGTACATATTTACCCTTTATTTTGCGACTAAGATTCTAAACCAAACAAATCTAAACAATATGTTCTTTCAGTCTGTCTTCCCCTAACTACGTTTTTCACTCTCTCTTCAAGTGAATCTATTATATGAGAGGTGTCTGTTATCTTATCTCCACTTGCAAGCTACTCACTCTCTCTCTCTATCCCTCTCTCTGAGTTCTACTGTGCGGCTATCATTGCCTGAGTCTCACCTTCCGCTGCGCAGTTGCTCGCACCCGAGTAGGTCAGTCACTCATTCTTTGGTGCGCTGATCACAATTCTATATTGGATTGCGCTTAAAAGTGTTGAATTTAGCCAATTCTCTAGCTCTGACCAAGGGCTGCGCACTTGGCTTTGAGGTGTGCCGTGCCCGTGTTGTGTGTGTTTTGTTTGTAAGACGTACATAATGCAAAAAGTAAAACTGGTAAATGGCTTTTAACTAATTTACAGCTGTTGACAGACCCTTAAATGATTAGCTAACCAACTAACTTATGAGGGGCGCTCGTGAGTCATGCTATCAACTGGGAATAACCCAGCTTTATAACCTGCTTTATAACGTGAAACGACAATAAACAACATTTGAAAACTTTAAGCAACCAAAAATGGTTTGATTGATGCCCACTTTTGAAGCCAGTGTACGCGTATTGTTAACTTAACTTTTATTATGTGCCAAAATGTTATTTTTCCAATCAATTTTTTAATTAAACATTTGACGTCCACTCGATGCTCACAATCCCACTCGTCACCTCCTTTCTTTCGGACAGGAATCACTTTCACTGGCGCACTCCATATCGGACAAGCCGTTGCCGCCGTCGCATCTAATCGTGGCCAGCCTCGAAGGCGGCAAAGTTTCGGAACGCCTGGGTAAACTCAAGTCAAACTCGGAGAACTGGAAGCAGCGTATAGGTAAGTACAGCAAAGCCACCGACCAAAATCTGAGCTGATATTTAATCCTAAATGTTTACAGAGCAAACCGATGCCAAGAAGTTCACAGTCGCTGGACGACTGCAGAAGAAGGCTCAATCGCCAGCTGAGCTTCAATTCGAGCGCCTGCCCAATGATGCGGCCATGAAGTGCCCAATGCTGGAGGTGCGCAGTGCCAATCAGCCGCAGCTGGGTTTGGCCAAGAGCCCCTCCATGATGGTGACGACCTGTTCAAAAACAACCTCAACACAGCGCAGCTTGAGCGTCAATGCTGAGGAGAATTTGTCCCTAAGTCGCAGCAACAGCAGCAGCTCCGAGTCGGATGGGGAACGCTGCTCGCCCCACAATGCCAAGCAGAGCAAGGAGCTGGCCAACAACAAGAGTGCGGCCGCAGCCACAAATGTGGGCGCCCGAATCCAAGTGCCGCGTCTCGACGATGAGGAGACCTTCGAGAACTTCTTTGTCGTCCAGCCCAAGAGCCAAACAGCAGAGGAGTCCCCGCTGGACATAAGCGCCTTCGATGATATAAAGCCCACAGAGCGGTAAGTCATGCCGATATATCAAATCAATGACGATCTCTTCAATTGCATCTCCTTCCCTTCCACAGCCTGGTTAGCAAGCGCAACATTCAGGGTCCCAAGGGGCGGCGAGCCGCACGCAATCCCCTAAAGACTTTGGCAGCCCGCAGCGACATCTGCTCGGAGTATACGGAACTCAATACGGGCGTTGCCGAGCGCGAGGTGCGTCGTCTCAAGCTGGAATCATGTTAGTTACCGATATTTTTGGATAAATCTTCCACAAGCTAACAATAAATCGATTTGCTCTATTTGTGCATCGACAGTTGGACAACGCGGCAACTTGGCAGCAGAAGCCATTGCAGGCCTGGCATCCATCGAAGACTTCAAGTCGGTGGCCCTAAAGTCCTCATCATTGCCGTTGCAGCAAATGTGGCTGCCCTACAAGCGCGTGATGCTGCTGCACGTCAAGGGACGCACCCATGTCCAGACGCGTCTGGTGGCGCCCGTGCCAACATCCATGAATCGTGGCGATTGTTTCATTTTGGTCGCTGGAGCACATCTCTTCAGATATGTGGGCTCCTTTGCCAACGTAATTGAGATCTCGCGCAGCAAGAAGATCTGCGCTGCCATAGTAGAGAACAAGGATCTGGGCTGCACAGCCACCCAGGAGCTAATACTTACGGACGGTAAATACGTCAATGAGCGTCAATGGCGTCAGTTCTGGTCGCTTCTGGGCGAGTCGGAGGAGCAACCGCAGCAGTTGGCCATCGCTGACTGCGGCCATGAGGATGAGGATGACGTATTCGAGAGCAGTCTGATCGAGACGAACAAGATTTACGAGTTCCATGACGATGGCCTGGTGCCCCTGGTCAAGTACTGGGGCTGCATACCAAAGGTTGAAATGCTGGATACACGCAAGGTGCTTGTCTTTGACTTCGGCAGCGAGCTGTATGTGTGGAACGGCAAGAACGCGTCTACAGATGACAAGCGGGCGGCCATGCGTCTCGCTCAGGAGCACTTTGACGCCTCCGATGCCGCAGACTACGCACAGTGCTATCTGAATCCGATCAACTATGCGGCTATTGTGGGCAGGCGCGAGAGCACCACGTACGCCAAGCGCTGCGCTCAGCGGCCAGAGTGGTGCATGCTGGGGAAGATAACGCAGAACATGGAGACGGTGCTGTTCAAGGAGAAGTTCAGCGACTGGCCAGAGCTGGAGCACGAGGATCTCGAGAAGGACTATTTGGCAAATGCTGTTCATGTTGTGCGCGCACTCAACGGCGCAGCCCTGCAGAAGGGCGAGCCCTACCAGGAACCCAATCTTATGCTGGAGCAAGCAAACTTGGGTCGTGGCAACTTCTACTACGACAACGATACCATGCGGCACTTTGATATTATCACCAAATCTACTGACAAATGGCAGATACACGAGTTCAACTTCGATGCGGCCGACGCGCACAAGAACTACGGACACTTCTATTCCGCGGAGAGCTACATTGTGCGATGGATTTACCAGATTTCAGTTACGGTACGGGAACTGAGTGGCAAGGTGTCGAATCGCAGCACTGTCGGCCGCGATCGCTGCGTCTATTTCACCTGGCAGGGTAAGGACGCGAGTGCCAATGAGAAGGGCGCCGCTGCTCTGCTGACCGTTGAACTAGATAAGGAAAAGGGTGCCCAAATCCGTGTGGCGCAAGGCGACGAGTCGCCCGCCTTTGTGCGACTCTTCCGCCAGCTTTGGCAGCATTATGGTCGCAAAGTGCAATGTCTGGCCAGGCGAGCCGAGTGGCGTCTCTACCAGATACAAGGCAATCTATCTGAGGAATCGCTTATAAAGGAAGTTCAATGTGATGCCCGCCAGCTACGTTCGCGTAGCTCCATGCTCCTCATACTAGGCTCAGAGGGACGCGTGCTCGTTTGGCATGGCTGTAAGAGCGCAGAGCATACTCGTGCCGTCGCCTTAGCTGCAGCAAAGCACGTAGCAGATCAGCTGCCTGAGGATTTGTTCAGCTGTGCAAGTGCCACAGTCCAAGAACTGGAGGAGGGTGCCGAGTGCGATGTCTTCAAAACGATCCTTCGCATTGGAGAGGAGCGCAATTATGGTAGTCTGCTGGAGTCGATCAAATGCTATGACTACACACTAAGGATTTTTAACTTGTCGAGCACACAAGGCATATTTAAAGCACACGAGCTGATCGACCCGCTGCGTTGCCGGGATCTGCATTCTCCTTATCCCTTCTCACAGTCGCAGTTGTACAATGCGCGCCAGCCGACTATTTACCTGCTAGACGATGGGGACGAACTGTGGCTCTGGATGGGCTGGTGGCCACTAGAGGACATCAAGAGTAAACTTTTTAACTAGCTATATCCTTAACCATTACTAATAATTCGATTCTTCAATTATAGTCAAGTCCGAGGATCGCAGCAGCCCCACCAATGACAATCGTGCGGGTGTGAACCGTTGGATCTCAGAGCGACGAGCCGCTCTAGAAACGGCCGTCGACTATTGGCGTGCGAAGCACGGCGATAATGAGACGGTTTCCTTCCACGGCACCAAGGGCTACGTTGTTTGGGCAGGCCTGGAGCCGTTGGCCTTCAAAGCTTTATTTCCTGATTGGTCTGAGCGTAACAATATTCGTGAAATTAACCTCGTGGTAAGTTGATTCACAGCTTCGACATTTTGTTTATGTACTAATTGTGGCCCTTGGTATTACAGGATGGTCGGACTGATGTACCCACGTCCATCAGTGAAATGCTCGCACAAATGACTCAAACCGAATACCCGCTTGAGGTGCTGAAGGCGCGTCCGCTGCCAGAGGGCGTGGAGCCCACACGTCTGGAGCTCTACCTAAACACAAGTGAATTTCAACACGCAATCGGCATCAGCCGGTTGGAGTTCGATCAGTTGCCCGTGTGGAAGCAAACGAAGCTGAAGAAGGACCGGGGTCTTTTCTAAGCAACCACTAATATGTGACCATATAGACTTACACGTGAACGCAATCACAAAATACTTTTGTAACCAAATATTTTCTAACAACCTTTAAAAACATACATACCTATGTATTCTACCAAAACTATTTACAAATACCATACGGCACACCTGTTAGCATATCTTTATATACTCTCGTACTTTATGCAGTCATCGTATATACATATTTATATACATATGCAACCCTTAACTTTTTTCACCGATTTATATCCTATAATAGCAGCTTAATATGTATTCAGACAACACAAAGATTATCACGAAATTGCACTGGTCTATCAACAAACGTAGAATTTAATTACATGTACATAAAAATTTGATGTGCTTTGTTTTTAACAAATTAACAAAATTGCCATTGTTAATTTGAATACAGCACAGAACAAATTAAGATAAAATACCACTGCTCTCTTTATTTCATACTTTTCGTGTACTCAAGTTCTATTTACGTATATTTAAGTTTATTTGCTCATTTTAGTATTTGTATTCTATTATGTTTCGATTTTATTTCGTATTATGTAGTTTTTATTAAAAAATAAAACAAACAAAATTTACTTTGGCTACATGCAGCTGGTGCTGCAGCTTTATTTCACATCCGTCTTACAGCACTCTTTTTACATGAACTGCTATTTAACAGTACTCAATTTAAATGAGTTACATTTTTGCCCCTTAAGGCTATGCAATGCAATTTTTTATTGTGAAACTCGTCGCTCTTCTGGGCATTTCTGTTCGCCTGGTATATGAGTGAAATTTTAGTGCAAATTTGTGACACAGCCAGCGAGGGCGCCCCTTTCGGGTATGCAATGGTTTTTTTCGGCAGCTAAAAATTTTTTGTGTCGGCCTTCTGAGCATTTCTGTTCGCCTGGTATTTTGGCAGAATTTAAGAAAAATCTCGGCAGCCAGCCAAAACGACATAGCTCCGCCTGGAGATATGACGTTCCAAAACGACATAACCCCCGCCTGGAGATATGACGTTCCAAAACGACATAAGCCCCGCCTGGAGATATGACGTTCCAAAGCGACATAGCTCCGCCTGGAGATATGACGTTCCAAAACGACATAACCCCCGCCTGGAGATATGACGTTCCAAAACGACATAACCCCCGCCTGGAGATATGACGTTCCAAAACGACATAACCCCCGCCTGGAGATATGACGTTCCAAAACGACATAACCCCCGCCTGGAGATATGATGTTCCAAAACGACATAACTCCGCCTGGAGATATGACGTTCCAAAACGACATAACCCCCGCCTGGAGATATGACGTTCCAAAACGACATAACCCCCGCCTGGAGATATGATGTTCCAAAACGACATAACTCCGCCTGGAGATATGACGTTCCAAAACGACATAGCTCCGCCTGGAGATATGACGTTCCAAAACGACATAGCTCCGCCTGGAGATATGACGTTCCAAAACGACATAGCTCCGCCTGGAGATATGACGTTCCAAAACGACATAGCTCCGCCTGGAGATATGACGTTCCAAAACGACATAGCTCCGCCTGGAGATATGACGTTCCAAAACGACATAGCTCCGCCTGGAGATATGACGTTCCAAAACGACATAACTCCGCGCGGCAAGGTTCTCAGAACCTATAAGACCTAGAGGCTTGAAATTTTAGATGTAGGTCCTCCTGGTGCCTGCGCAGATTGAGTTTGCTTCCGATAATCGATAACTTACTCAGTTTCCAAGCAATCGATAAAAATCGATATCGATATCCTGCTTTTTGGGCAATTTTGGTAAATAATAAGAGCTAGAGTCACCAAACTTGACATATAGTTTCTAAAATAGAATATATATATGCATTTGATGTTGGAAGAAGAGGGTTCTGGGTATCCCCTAGTCGGAGCTCTCGACTAGAACCTCTTGTTTTATTAATTATTTCTTTTAAAATTATACAAAACGAGACTGGACTATAATTTTTGCGTATTTTAACTTAAAATAGCTATATCTGGCTTAATAAAAGTCCGATCCTGGAAAAATTTGATTTGTCAGTCGCGGAGGTCCTTAGAGCTCATTGTAGTCCTTAATTTATCAGTCTGAAAAGATAAAAACACATTTAAAATAAACAAGTAAATATATACAAAGGCATTTTATTCAAGGAAAATAGGACATAACTCGGGCATGTCCTTATAGATTTTCAAAGGACATGGTGCGTTAGGACCGTATGGACCCCCTGCATCGATCTGCATCATAAAAATATGGGGTCATCTAAGAATCCCAGGACTTGTAGAATTTCAGCCGCAGAGCGCACGGAAATGGCCTGAAAACACAAATCCTTAAATATCTCCTTAACTACAAGGACGATCTTAATGAAATTATTTTGACATATGACTCGCCAGGATACGCAAGGATATACGAGAGTTATGGCTTATTTTCTTCAAACAAAATCGTCCTTAAACCTTTTTTGTTTGAAGGACTTTCGTCCTTTGGATTGTATATTCTTTATTTGGAGGGCGAGGACTATCTACTGGCCAAAGGATATCCTGATCGTCCTTCAAATGGCAAAGTTAGCCCGGATATTTTCGATTTTTGCCAATTTTGCGACTAACCCCCTAGGATAAATTTCGACGAAATTTTTTGTCGAATTATGAAAATCCTTGAATGCCAGTCGATAGTCCTGATCATCACGAGCTTAAAAAGGCATATCCTTCTGATATCCTTAAGGATTTGGCCGCGTTATGACTAGTTGAAAAATGTCCTTTTTAGAAAATTGGCCATATCACGGAAACGGAAAGGACGATTTTGTTGTCCTTTGGACAGCTTATGGTCCTTGTTCATACGATTTGTATGACACAGGACTTGTCAGGATGCGGAAGAATTCGGCCGAGTTATGGCATCAATAATTTACGAACTAAATGAACTTATTTCTAAGCTGTCTAAAGGACTTTCGTCTTTTTAAATATATATTCTGAATTGGGAAGATAAGGACTTACGGTTGGCAAATGGACATCATAGTCAGCAAGGATGCGGCCGATCTACAGCCTTTAATCTCTACAGAGAAAAATCTCTTTTCCTCAGCTCCTTGAAGGATTTTGTCCTTTTTACTGCGTATTCTAAATTGGCAGGACAAGGGCTACATTTTGTCCAAAAGAAATCAGAAAGGTCCTTAGGGTGGCCAATTTAATGTTTTCTAAAGACAATAACCATATCTCTGAAACCGTAAGGACGATTTTGATGATCTTTGGGCAGATAATAGTCCTATCCCATACGTGGTGTTTGACGCAGGACTCGCCAGGAGAAAAAAATCATTGAACAATATTTTCCGCGATCTTCTGGGCATTTCTGTTTACCTGATCTTTAGGCAGATTGGCAGAAATGCTTAATTTTAAAATGGAGATTGAACGATCAACAAAATTGGATCCACCTGCTTGACTGAATGTGCGCCATAATTCTAGGCTTCATTCATTACGCATATGCTTATATCTAAATATCTATATTTTAGCTTATACTGTAAATTTTAAAACTTGATTTAGGGTTAAAAATAATTTTAAAATCAACCAGACGAACGCAGCTGCGAAGATTCCTCGTTCAGGTGACTGCTGGTCTACGACCCTTTTTGGATTTCAGCTATAAGTCGGGAAACCAGCTCGCAGCATGCCTTCTGCCTGTTTTTGGCTACAGCCATGACTTCCTCGTGGTTGGCCTCGTCGTCCTTCTTGTCGCTGTACTCGATGGAACACTTGTTGGTTATTAAACTGAAAGCGAACACTTTCATATCGCAGTGGCGAGCTGTAATGACCTCGTGCACCGTGGACATGCCCACTGCATCAACACCCATCATGCGGAGTGCCTTTAATTCGGCTATAGTCTCGTAGGTTGGTCCTCCAAGGCAAGAGTAAACACCAACATGTATATTTGACTCAATTCCCATTATTTTACTAATCTCAATCGCCTTGTTGATAAGGTCCCTGTTATACGAGTTGACCAGAGCGGGAAAACGGGGCCCAAAGCGTGGATCGTTGGGTCCCTGCAGGGGAGAATTGCCAGCGAAGCCCAGCATGTTGACATGATCATGCATGAGCATAATGTCGCCAACCGCATATTTGGGATTTATACCGCCCGCCGCATTTGTAGCAAAAAGATACTCTACGCCACAGAGCTTCATTACGCGCACCGGCATAGAGCATTTGGCCAGGGGGTAGCCCTCGTAGAAATGAAAGCGCCCCTGCATGGCCATGACATTAGCGCCCTCCAGCGTACCGACGACTAGTCTGCCTGCATGTCCCTCGACTGTCGATACAGGGAAGTTTGGGATCTTTTCATACTCGAAGACCTTGGCATCCTGAATAATATCGGCAAGGGAGCCGAGCCCAGATCCGCAAATAATGCCAATCTTTGGTCTTATGCCTGAGCCCTTCACAATGAAGTCGGCGATCTCCTGAATGACCTCATAGGGATACCTAAAAATGGTATAACAATAATATTAGAATGACAAATATTTAATATGAATTATTATAGCAACAGGACAGTACATTAAAAAATGTCTGTTTGGCACAGCGAGAGTCGGTGAACAAGAACGTCTTTTCAAGTTTGCATAAATCTTATCGTTAAAAATACAAATTAAAATAGCTTTGATGGAATACAAGTTTGTGAAGTAAAACACGGTGTGATAGTGCAAGTACGATAAGTACAATTACAAGAACGAATCTACGCCCGGGTGGTGCACAGACATACAGACAAACGAACTGGGACAAGCACATCAAAAGTAACATAGTCTACAAACGTTTCTTCATGCATGACGCGCAAAGCGCGAAACTCTTCGGGTGTAAGGGAGCATTGTATACGGTTGTCACTCCTGCTGTAAATGTTTGAAAATTTAAGATTTTAATTTTAAACTTTGTTTAAATATTTAATTAAATTTTCTATATATGAAATGGTGTAAAATAAAGTGATTCGCTTCCTCAAAGTCACCGCAAGTATTGTAATTTACATAATGGGATTATCTTCCAATCAAGCATTATCGCAAGTGATAATATACTGAAATCTAGACAGAGGTTTCATCACCATTGTGAGGCTCTGGGCGAATATTGATTATACAAAAACAAGATCTACGAATCAGAGAGCAAGCATGTAAAATTTCAACAAGAAAATTATAATACTTAATTTGTTGGTTCGTTGAAGCTGAAATTGTTTAATGAAGTTTTTGAAACCGGCTATGCAAAAGCGTCGAATATATTAGAATATCCAGGCTATATGTTCAAATATTCAAGTTAATTATTTGGAATCATAGAGACAAATACTTTACACTAACCAGTTTGAAAACAAATCCGAAAAGAAACGACACATGGCTTTAAGAACAGATGCCAATTTTTAACTACAAGTTTGTTGCTCAGTTGTTTTATGCCTAACCGTATAAAAATGAATAATTCCAGATAAAGGCCTATGTCAAGATCGCGGAACACGCCCATTTTGGTTAGCCAATCATGAGCGACTAAGTAAACTTAGTTAACTGGGTCAACACGTTACATGCGCAATTGGCAAACGAACAAACATACGCAACGCGAGTTTATCAGCAGCTACATGAAGCTGGGGCTATAGTTGGGGATCCGACCGGATCGCCTGGGGGCATTAGCATTTCTTGCCGTAAGAATTATCAGCATTAAGTAGCTCTCGTAATCTCCCATACAGCTAGTAAATGTCACGACGGTTTTTTATGGAACATTTTGATTTAATGAGCGATCGAGCGCTACTCAAATTGATAACCCTATTGTGTATTCTGGAATGTCATACTTATGCTTGGCTTTAGCGACAATCTGTCAACTCCCAATATCAGCAGCAAGATCAAGGACAGTCCAGTAGAATGTATTCAAATATACACGAGAAAAATATACACTTACAGCTGGCTCTGAGCAGTTGGCACTATGGTTGAGTCAGCTGGATCATTAATAGCCGATTTATCACCAGCCTTGCCTCTGGGATTTGAGCAGCAATCGCGACTACACATTGTGAAAATTTAGATCGAATTGGAAGGTTTTGTTTGTTTGCTAAGAAAATACATGCTTACTGCTCAGTCTAGCAAATGCAACTAGATGCCTGATTTAAAACTTAAAATCAAATCGAAGATACTTTCTGCCCGTTCGTTCATAAACTTACAGCAAACTTTGAGGCGTGGGTACTATTATCTCGACATCAGTTTTGCCATTCTTCTTGTCGGCACAGGCAGTGCCCTTGGCATTGCTGGGACCACCCTTGCCCGAGCAGCAATCACGAGAGCACATTCTGCTGTTTAGGAGTTTCTTGCTGTATAGAAACCAGATGGGCCGAGATATAGTCAAACTGAGAGTCATATATTTTTTGTTAAAATTTTATGCCCAGTCCCGAACGGTTATGCCATGAAAAAACAATTTTGTATAATGGGCACATTTATAAATGAACCAGGACACAAATAAGGCAAGGCCTACTAACTAGCACAAGGGCCGTAAACTAAATCGATACATATCGATTTTGGAAAAGGGTGACTATGACAAGAAATATATACCCACAACCACAATGCCAACAACTATAAAAAGCTATCAATTATGGTGCATTCTTGATAGCAGGTTACTTAAATAACCAAGCGTTCTATTGTTTTTTTGTTTTTTTTTTTATTTTTTGGTGTTTTTTTTTTTTTGGTTTTGTTTCGTCCCACAGCCTGGGGTGGGTAACTTACGTGTGGTTCTCCTGCGCGGTATATTCGGCGGCCTTGTGTCCATTGCTGTGTCCGCTGCTGTTGTTGTGATTTCCATTGCTGGTGGCCACGTCGCCTTTGGAATTATAGCCAGTCATATTGTATTGCACTTCCTTTCGGGTTTTGAGTTAATTGTCAATTGAAAAATGTTATATAACTTTGCACAGGTTGCGTTGTGTTCACAAAATTATGTAAATGCCGAGATGAACTTTCACAATGGTTTTGCTTACTAATCAGTTCGCAGATTTGATTATAAAAAAATCAAAGTTAATTTAAATTCAACAGACTGGAATTTCCTTTATTATCTCGTTATTGTCGCGATCCACTTTTAAGTTCTCCTTTATTGTGATTACTCGTTTCGCGTTTAAATTTCTAGCTTTCCAGTTGCCTCCTCGAGTGTACTTTGATAATTGAGCCGCGTCGTCAGCGTTGTTTCCACTTTTAAGCAGCAGGCAGGCAGCTGGCGTGTCGCTGACGTTGACGCTGACAGCGACGTCGACGTCGATGCCGCAGCGCTGCGCTGCCTCTATGTACGACTCAGCCAGCGTTTATTGTTCAATATTCAATTTAGGATCCGAGCTGCGCTTGTTGTTATTGGCGTTCCATCGACGTCAACTATACAAACCGGAATCGAAGCTCTTAACTAATTCAATTGAGCTGAATTTAATACATTTATAAAAAAATAAAAACAAACAAATACACAAAATAAACTAAATTTTCAATTAAAATAAAAAAATGGCTAAAACACGCCTCCGATTTGATAACAAACACAATCAACGTAATTAATTCCCTCAAATTGCTTCCCTAATATCACCAATTAAAAGTTGCCCACATGTGTGTTCACTATTAGACAAAGATTGTGTTATCCAATGATAAGATTAAATTATATTACCTTTTGCAACATTACAGCAGTTTTTAATATTTTATTTTAAACATATTGTGACACAGGAAAGTTAAGCTCCTGATTGCAACTCTACTTAGGTAAGCCCAAAAAATTATGAGGAGTCCAGGCTACGTCCGAACTTATTACAAAAATTCTATAAGCAAATACATATTGCGTGATTCTCATTATTTTTGAAAATTTTTAAAACATGCCGCACGTTAAATTTATTGTTGTTATTATTGTTGAGCTTATCAGAAGCTGTGCTTCATAACAAGGCGAATATTTTTACTGAATGCTCAAATCATCCGATTCGTTGATAAGCTCGAACAGTGAAAGCCCATATGTAATCGCCACTGCAATGTATATTACCTGGCAACCACTGTTAGCAAAATATTTGCACGTACATTTCGGACAAGCTCAGAAACTGTCTGCCATTAAGAAAATTGCAATAATAATAGTATTACCGTACTAAAAATACTGACTGAAATTATCTGGCTTATCAGGCCCAGTTCGAGGGGGGTATACGTCAGCGAGATTAATATATTTTTATGCCCCAAGCGATTTACAACTCAAGTAAACAAATTTATTTTTCTTTGTGCAGACCTCATTAGACTCAAGAAAATTTCTTGTAAAAAAAAACGCTGTATTCTGAAAAACTATGGCAATAACTATTAATTCTTTATGTAAATATTATTCACGTCAATAATATGATTATTTTTCCAGTAAAGTTTTAAATTTAAATCAAAGAAATTACTAATACGTAAAAACAAAAGAATGCATATTAATAAATTTCGAGCTGGTTCGCTTTGAATTTCCCGCACAAACTAAAATCTGATCTTTGAATAAGCAGCAGGTAGTAGTCAGTGGATGAGCATGGAAAATTTCCAGCTGATAAGAAAAAATTCCGTTCACATGGAACCGAGCTGTTTTATGATAAAGAGAATGAGAAAACTCGAAGAAAATTGTTGCGCATTTCTCTTGTTTTTGTTTGTTTTTTGTTATTGATGTAAAAAATCTTTTCACAAGTCAGACATAGACATAGAAACAGATGCAGACAGATAACAGCAGCTGATAAGAGAATCATGAGTTATCAGTCATCTTTGCCTGCCTCTGGATGAACATTTGTGGTATTAAGTTTGACGTTTATTTTATTTTCTGCTTTGGGTATAAATCGTTAGCTTATTAGCAAGACATATATATTATATTATATTTAATTTTTAATGATTTTCAATTCTTTTGATTAAATATAGTTTTATTGGATTAGCCAAGTTGATTGCATTGCTATTGTTTATTTTTTGTGCTTTAACTGTTTTTGCATTGATATTGCGAAATTTGTCTGCTTACAATATGAACATTTTTGTGAAACAATTATTAATTAATCCAGCCAATAAAATGAAACAGAACGTTTTGAAACCTACACTGGCTGAGTTCAGCGAAAAATTAAGGTAAAACCAGTTCAGTTGCATATTTTGACACCAAATTATAGACAAACTATGTCTATTATCGTATGGTGAATGATTTTATTGTTGTACGTTAATTGATTTACACTGATAAGGTTTGATTTCAGTTTGTCACCTGCTGATTCTTACAGAAAAGTTTGAAATTGCTAACCAATAAGTACTGAAAATACCTAGAAAGTCACGTGAACCACTGCCAAGATTTCCCTTCACACAAGAACTTGAACATAAACTCATAAACTTAAGCTCATTCAAGTAAACATTTGTAAAAAAAAGGAAGAATTTACTATAGTAGCCCCAATCCAGACTCGGACTAAACCACAGCTACAAAAACAATTTAATTTGTTGCAACTTAAAAAAAAAAAAACCAAAATTCCTTTTTAAACTAGTACAAAAAAAATTTAACACGCTAATCATCTGCTCAAACATATTTCTTATTTAACGTATATGCGGAACTTTAATAGTTCAACATTTTTGTATTTAATTTGAGGTTAAAAGTGTGGAACTATTGGACGCGGTTCGGACAAATTATATCAAATAATAAAAAAGAGCTTTTTTTTATGTGGGACGGTTTTTTGCAATGAAAAAGGCACGAATGTGTTTTGTAAGTGTTTTGTCTTGTAATATTTTGCGATACAGGCCAAACTCTTTCAAAGTATCAATTTCCTTTTGTTTAATAAACATAAAAACAATTACCCCAAAAGTATAAATCCAATTGGTTGAATTACCTAAGTAATTCGCCAAAGTCAAATATATAAAAAGTCTTGATTGGCAAGGTATTTGGAGATTCTGTCAAAAAAATTAGGTAAGCAAGTTAAAGATATAAATATCAGATTTGTTGTAAAAATGACCCAAAGAGATATTTTAGCTGGGCGAACATGTTAGGGAATTGCAAAGGAATGGCTACTTTGCTTTTATAAAACAGCCGTGGTCTTATTGAAATTTGTTGTGTGATATTGGGAAGAAAAGAACGATAAGAACTTGTATTTCAAAATCGGATTAAGAGGTCAATAAAAATATACATTGAGCAAAAGTAAGTGAACGAGACAAACATTTAAACTAAGAATAACATTTTAATTAGTATTATGTTATACATATATTTTATATATCAACTAGATGTATGTTACAAAAGTAAAAGTAAAAATAAAGTGCAGTCACGCGAAAACATAAAGTTAGACATACGTAAACACACAAACATACATATAAATGGGCATATGTCTATACTAGCTAGGGTAAGATCTTTGCTCTCTATGTTTATCCTGGTATACTTGCATGTCCGATCTTATGATTTTATTGATCTATTATCAATTATCTTATCCGTTAACCACATTGATTATATTTTGAGACTTAAGTACCTAAGTGGCTTGCAAAACATATTAAGCAAACACGAATACTTTAGAAAACTTTGAGACTAATTACATCACTATCTTGGCAAATACAATGCAATTGCAGCGATTACAATATTGTAAGCTAATCTTAAAATTGCACAAGGTTATAGAAAACAAAGAAACACGAGATATATTGTTTAACTTATGGTTGTGTTGCCTTTTGCAATTAACTTAAATATTACATATATATATTATTAGTATTTTTATGGTTAAACGTATGTTTTTTTATATTTAGTAGAAGCAGCTGTTGAAGGCCGCTTTAAGTCTGTTCAGCTAATTCCTTAAGTGTGATACTCGTAAGACTTTTCGTGATTCATTTTCAATTCAATTGTTTAATGGGTTTTGCTTCAAACTCCTTTATCGGTTTCCTTTGCTTTTAATTGCATAAAGAATTTCTCTCGTTTTCTATTAATAATTCATAAAAATCAGTCAGTCCAACGCTTTCTCTTGTTAGCTTTGTTTTTCTTCTCTGTGTTGGGTGTTGGTGTGTGCTTAAGCTTTGATTCGGTTAATTTAAATTGTGTTTTTCAGCTTGTAGGGTTTAAATGTAGAGATTGGCCAATTGAAGTAACTTTAAATATAGTAATTTACTTTCCCTGACCACATCGTGCTTGCTTTTTATTATTAGAATAGTTCATAAATACATCTATGCTGCATTAGATTCAATAAGTTAAAATGTAGTACGTATTATAGATGTCTGTTGTACAAATAAATTACGTTTACTCTGGTAAGTTATTTTATAAGATAAATAACTATGTAATATATACTATGTAATATATAATATGTTAAATATAAATATATAATATATAAATATATATTTAAACGCATTGGATGTGGTATGCATAGATCTTATGAGTGCTTAGTATGAATATATGGTTTTGGTTTTTGGCTACTTTGTTGCTTAAAATCTAGAATTCAACTACTTTTTTTTGGCTGCCTTCTTTTCAGCCTTGCGTATGGCCTTTTCGCGTTCGCGACGTTCGCGTTCCATGTCCTTGCGCTCCTTTTCGATGCTGGCCTTCAGGTCCTTTAGGCGTTTTTTCAACCGATTTTTGTCATCACCGCAAACGCCCAAAGTTTTAAAGTCCTTCGAGTCAAGAGTAAGCAAAGCGCCGCCTTCCACGTTGTGTTCTTTAAAGACAGGTATATAGCGCTCCAGCTCAATGCCCATCAACCAGTGGCCCACCTGTGCAGTCCAATTTGTTGTTTATTTCGTTGATATATTTGACAAAGCTTGTAGGTTCTCTCGGTTAGATGTTTACCTGCTCCTTGGTCCATTCGTGTACGGGGCCTCCTTTATAATTGTAGCAGGCGACAGCCGCTTTTCGATCCGAAAAACTAGAACTAGAACCAGACAGATCCAGGGTCCGGCTGGGCGAGTATCCGGGCGAGGAGCAGTCTGAAGACATGCTAGTCGGTGATGGCGGTCCGGTCACATGCGCTGATTGCTGCTGTTGATGCTGCTGATGATGCTGCTGTTGCCAGGGCACTGTACCGGGCGGGGAGAGCGATTGCGGAACAACTTGTTTTACTTTAGAGGAATTACAGTGTTAATGGTTAGTCATAGCAGCAAGAGAGCAAAGAAGAGAGAGGAGAGAGAAATATAAAGAATAATCATTGTTGTGTTATTACTCATTTGATGCCATGTTGTATGCACCATATGAAC